ATATAAAATATTAGAAGGTTCAAAAACAGTGCAAAACATTCAGAATATTGTCACATAGGTGGTTATTATGTTAAATTTTATGTTTCTACATGTAAATAAAACTTTAATGATTTCAGTAAACAGGAAAGATGATGAAAACTGTCTCAAATTTCTTTATTCTTGCGAGAGAGAGAAATAGGGTTTAACGTCCACTCGACACAAACTAGGTCATTTTGGGACTAACATATGGTTTAATTTCATTTCAATAATTCGCTTGCACATAGGGGTCTTTAGCAGTGGGAGGAAACCGGAGGACCCGGAGAAAACCCACGAGGTTGGACAGACGACCCTACTCCTTGTCACGTACAACCGGGGATTCGAAACCACGCCAGTTGACTCAATGACAGACTTTATGATACAGCGCGGATGGTAATGTCACATTATTAACTCAAACATCACTTGGTCACAAAATGGTGACGTCAGTCATTTTGGTATCACATGATCACTAGCGAAATACTGATTCACTACACTTGTTGAAATTTAACGCAAATGAGACCAACACAAACGATTGTTGGTCGAACAATGTTTTTGAAATCTAACAAGTTTGATTTTGCGAATAATGTTCGTGTTGAAATCCAACGTACCTCGGCTAACTTTTGCCGGAAATCATTGTTCGACCAACAAAATGTTAGCCGGTCTGTGGCAGGCTTAAGTGTCCACTGCACTGTGGAGTCTGGGGCCTGTACTGATAATGATATAATCGGTCATGTCGTGTCGTCTTAAACATATGGTAACTAAAAATAAATTTTTCCGTTACAACAGACGCTATAGACATTAATGTAGCACTGCTGCTTGGCCTTAAAATATACAAAATATTAGAAGGTTCAAAAACAGTGCAAAACATTCTCAATATGGTCATCTTTACAGTTCTTTGTTTAACATACGTGGAATTCTATGGTATTTTTAACAGGAACACCCATGACAGCTGTCTTAAGTTAAATTACATTTGGTAACCTCATGCATATCCAACCAAATTTCGTTGGGGGTATGCCGTTATTCAGGCATGTCCACTATTCAAATAACTCCCATAATCTGAACTGCACACTTGCCTCTTTGACACCTAATTTTGTTTTCAAAAATCAAAGTTAGATCCTACTGTCATGAAATGAAATGGAGTTTAACGTCCTAATGTTCTGCACCGACTGGGCCAATGAAGACAGGCATACACCATACAGTGCGCTATGAAGGATTATCAAATAAAGTTTGAACAATAAAAGTTTTATTGTTCAAATTACGATACAATACGGCATACATACCCAAATAACTCTCCCTTCTTTTTACGTGGTAGATTGATTCTAGTCGCTTTAGGAAACAAGGTCTGTAGATCTTTTTCTGTACATTTAGAATCAAAACCAGTTACATATACTTTTAATGGATCCAGTTCTAAAAAATTAAAAAGATAACAGAATTAAAAAACCGAAATAATCAAACGAGAAGTGTCATATATCTCCACAGATCCGGGACCTCACAGCGCAGGGAATGCAAGGTTAGCCCCCAGATCCATTAACTTCATCTGATATGTGCGTTTGTTGTTTGCGGTGTCTGTATATGTGACCCGCTCCCACGAAACCGGGCACTTGTCGCACAACTTCTAGAACCCAAGATTTTTGCCCTATCAATACACTGCAACTCGGGTATGATGTAGCTGTCTTGTTTTAGCAGGAGTTTCTGTATATAATGTTTAGTTTCAAACCATTGTTGGCAAGTTGTTGAGGATCATCAATTAGGTTCCTACTGTAGAACAGTTTTATAATGGTCCGTCTAGATTAGATAATGAAATGGGGTTCAACGTCCTACTGTTCTGCTCCGACTGGGCTAATGAAGATGTGCATACGCCATACAGTGTGCTATGAGAGAAATTTTGCTCGGACAGCAGCACTACGGCCCACTCTTATGTCAAATTCCAACTGCCAAGGGATCTTTTACGTGCACGCTTATGTATACCTTGGTTTTTCATCCAATCCTAACGACTAGGCAGCGGACCTTATCAGACCATCCGTCCAGCGCCACTGACCAGGGAAACCATTTCCGAAAGTCTTGATGAACTTTCTCAGCCAATGCCGGAATCGAAAACGCGGCATCCTGACTAGCGAGTGTCCGGTTTACAACTGTTTGCTAACAGAATATCTATAAATAACTCACCCACTTCCTTCCGGACAGTTAGTTGGGAATTTTTACTCTTCTCACCCACATAATCAACAAAGATTTCATTACCACCAAGCTTCTTATTCAATAACTCTTTATAATTCTTGTCAGCTTTACTTTCACTTTCAAAAAATAGGAAAGCGAACCACCTAGAAAAGAAACAGAATCAAAGATAAAGTCAGATATATTTATGTTTATACATTATTTTCCGAAGCTAGTCGTCTCTCAATATACAATCTGAGTAAAATACAGGAGCCTGTTTCACGAAATTTTAACTAAGATAAAATCCAGATTTTAGTAATTTGATTGGATAATATTAGATTGATTTTAGTGCTTAGCCAATCAAAATTGAAGGATCTACTAAAATTTGGTTTTTATCTTTAGTTAAGATTTCGAGAAACAGGACCCTGATCTATATTTTTTTTTTTTTATTTTTTTTTTTTATACTTTTGATGGCCTATACTACATGAAGATGTCACTAGTTGTAAAGGAAGGTCGTGTCAGGTGTCATACGGGGGGCTTTAAACCATATGACGTCGTCAGACATTGATTAATCAATCAGTGTTGTAGTTTCTAGTGGGTTACCCACAGTTCCGTGTACCTCACACTAAAAACTCGCTGTAACAGACGGTTTCATAGGCTAAAGCAGGTTATATAACAACTCTCCCAGATTCTAGTGTAGTAAAGATAAGTAAAACAAAATTTTCAATATAAAAAACGAAAAAAAATAGGATCTGTGTTTTAATCAGAGAGGCAGACCGAACCAACCCCTTGTCATGTACACACTAAGAATCAGAACCATGTTAGTTGCCTTAAATTTCACCAGCAAATATTTAGTAGCACTCCATAGCTACCTACTGACAAGGTAAATGTTTGACACAGAGATGACATAGTTTTTGGTTGCTATTTAATGTAGGATAAAATGTGGAAGACTTGTTTCAGATTTAAAATTGAAATCATCCAAATCATCCAAGAGGTGTATAAAATCATCACAAACAAGTCAAACATTTAAACAGGTGAGTAATTGTTATTGTGGAAGTCTTGGATAATCTGAATCTGTTATCGTGGTAATCTGTTACTGTGGCATTTACAGGTAATCTGCTACCGTGCTATTTGTTGTTAATCTGTTACCATAGCATGCAAGGGTAATCGTGGTAATCTGTTACTGTGGCATTTACAGGTAATCTGCTACGGTGCTATTTACAGGTAATCTGCTACGGTGCTATTTGTTGTTAATCTGTTACCATAGCACGCAAGGGTAATCGTGGTAATCTGTTATCGTGGTAATCTGTTACTGTGGCATTTACAGGTAATCTGCTACCGTGCTATTTGTTGTTAATCTGTTACCATAGCACGCAAGGGTAATCTGTTAACATAGTACTTGTGTTACTGTGGCACTCACAAGTAATCTGTGAACTCCAGTAATCTGTTACCTTAGCACTCAAGTATGCGGCAGTCAAGGCAAAATTTCCCTCAGTTCACAACATGTCAGTTAATATAGAAAGTAGGATGATGAAACCCATTTCATTTCAGTGAAAATTGGAGAAAGAGAGAGAAATGGGGTTTAACATCCACTCGACACAAACTAGGTCATTTCGGTACTAACATTTGGATCAATTTTACTTCAATAATTCGCTTGCACGTAGGGGTCTTTAGCAGTGGCAGGAAACTAAGACCCTGGAGAAAATTCTTGGGGTTTGGACAGGCGACCCTACTCCTTGTCACGTACAACCAGTGATTCGAAACCATGTCAGTTGACTCAATGACAGGCCGTATGATACAGCGCTCACGTGCTAACCATTCGGCCATCAAACCCCCAGGGCTTGCCACGAGACGCGAGCAACTGCTCGCGCTCGCGCCAAATTTTAAGAAAACCCTGTAAAAATAATCAAAATATTGACAAGTTTATTGCCGAAACTAACCCAACAATGTCAATAACGTCATAAATTCGTCTGTCAAACTGAGATTCACCCAGCTGCACGCGGCATTTCCTCCTGAAATTTGATTGGCTAATAAAGTTACTCGCAACTTGTGTTACTAAAAATATACTTTAGACCTGAACGTCATGACTGGTTTTCCTACGAACACCAGTAACAAACACGTGATAATCGAGTCTAAAGTAAAGAATGTTTACACCCGGCATTTGGCATTCACGCTAAATGAACACGTTTCAAACCAATATTTATCGGTATTTCCTATTTTATCAGAACTTCGGTTTTTATTCCATTGTGCAGTCGTATAATTTTCAATCTAAGCGTAATAATGGCCAAAGGCAACCTGATTGCCCTATCCACATTTATTTCGTGGGGTGAAGAAATCCATACGGAAATTGGTTTTAATAAAGAAGAGTACGTATGACTGTCAAAAACAGAAAGCGATGGTCACACATGTTTACTGCAAACTTTGTGCCAGGAATAGCAATTTTCTTATGATTTTAAATTGAAACAGTGTTACAAAATGTGTGCTCACGCAAACAACATTTTGCGTGTGCAATTTTTATTGCTCACCTTGCTCGCCCAAACCTAAATTTGCGGGAGCAGTCATCTGCTCGCCATCAATTTATTCGTGGCCAGCCCTGAACCCCCCAATTATATTGTCAAGCTTGCTAGATATAAACCTGAACTCTAGTACTGGTACATGTACTAACCTTGGTCTTCCAATCTTATAATGACTTCTTCTTAATCTAATTTCCATTATATCTTTACTGAGTTTTTTAATATCACTTTCTGTCACATCAGCTGGTAGGTTTCTTATATACAATAATTTACGGTCTTTTAATTCTGTAATAGAGCAAATATAAAACAATCATAATAAATCTACAGTCTTATATACAATAATTTACGGTCTTTTAATTCTGTAATAGAGCAAATACAAAATATTTATACAAAATCTACAGTCTTTAAAATATACAGACCATAGAGAGTTTTACATCCACTCAACACAAACTAGGTTATTTTGGGACTAACATATGGTTCAATTTTATTTCAATGATATGCTTGCGTGTAAGGGTCTTTAGCAGTGGGAGGGAACCGGAGGACCTGGAGAAAACCCACGTGGTTGGACAGGCGACCCTTGTCCTTGTCATGTACAAGCAGGGAATCAAAACCACGCCACTTGACTTACTGACAGACCTTGTGATCCACGTTTAACCATTCAGCCACTGGCACTCCCGTCTAAAAGAACACAAAGATTTAATAAAGCGGGAGCGAGATATTTATGTAGTGTGGAGCTGGTCAAATAAAAGATTAAAATGCAGAAGACTTGTTTCAGATTTAAAATTAAAATCACTCTGATCATTCAAGAGGTGTATCAGATCATCATTAACAAGAGTTGTCCCCCTTCTTCTAGTTTTATATTCATTTCAAATAAATAACTATTGAATTATATACATCATTTACCATTAACAAGAGTTGTCCCTTCTTCAATTTTTTTATATTCATTTCAAATAAAGATCTATTGAATGATGTATTTTATTTACCATGAAAACTATTGAACGATGTATATTATTTACTATGAAAACTATTGAATGATGTATTTTATTTACCATGAAAACTATTGAACGATGTATATTATTTACTATGAAAACTATTGAACGATGTATATTATTTACTATGAAAACTATTGAACGATGTATATTATTTACTATGAAAACTATGGTTTTTTTTACCTTTTAAATAAAAACTTCTTATTTTTTTGTTTATAAGTGAAGACTATCTGAGGCTTATTAAAACGAAAACCACATGACAATTTTGTTCATTTAAAATGAAAACTATCTGTTCATTTTTCTTTTAAAGGAAAACAAGGCGTGGGCTTTTGATTCACATTTTGATTTTTAGCATTATGCACTGTTCCATTCATATATTGTGATGTTTGTTACGTCTCTGTTTTGTTGTGCTGTTCTCAATATAAAATTCAAACCAATACCTTGTTCGGGATCTCTAGGTACTTGAGGTTTCGTCTTCTTCGGTTGTTTGGCCTTTTTCACTTTAGCTTCAGATTCAGCTTTTCGTTTCTGACCAGGTTTTAACAGTTCTAAATGAAAAAAAATTAGAGAATTATTTGCTGAGAGAGAATCGTTCACTCAACACAAACTAGGTCATTTTGGGACTAACCCATGGAGCAATTTTAATAATCTGTGTTAGTCATATTATTTGCTGAGAGAGAATCGTTCACTCGAAACAAACTAGGTCATTTTGGGACTAACCCATGGAGCAATTTTAATAATCTTGTTAGTCATTTTTTGCAGTTGGGAGGAAATCAGAGAAAAGGTATGAGGTTAGACAGGCGACTTTACTCCTTGTCATGTACAACCAGGGAATCGAAAACACACCAGTTGACAGACCTTATGATACAAAGCGCCTAACCATTCGGCTATTCCCCCCCCCCCCCCACAAGATTTGCCAGATTTGAATAAAGTAAAGTGTTCCATAAAGTTGCTGAATTATAAGAATATAAGAAAATGATCATGTCCAATTAGTTTTAGCACAAGCTATGAATAACCAGTCTTATATCACTTTACCTTTTTCCTCTTTTTTTGTATCTACTTTTACTTTATCTTTTATACTTGTTAATTTTTGTTGTGATGAATCTTTCTGTATTTTACTTGCTACAGCATTAACAGCTGAAGCTTTTCTTTTCTGGCCTGGTTTCAATAATTCTGAAATTACATTTTAATATTTGTGTTAATTGGGCCTTAACCCTTAACCGGTCATTGTCGACTATAGTCACCACAACGTTATACAGCTAAGTGGTCACGGTCGACTAAAGTAGACCACAACAAGAACCTTTTTTATAAGCCGCATTTGAGTATTTAGTTTCGTATTTAATTGATATTGCCACACATGCGTGTCAGACACGAACTTGTCTTGTCAAGGGCATTGAGAAAAACATGTCTTTGTTCAACATTTTTTGACGAAAAACATAATTTAACGATGTCGGGAACGTTAAAGGTGCTCGAAATGGTTGAAATACCTATGAATTATTCTGACTCGGATTATATCGATGACACCGATTCTGAAGACGATATTTCTGATGAAAAGAATTTAGAATGATTTGCAAATTATAGATCAACTTATCCTCTTCAACTTTTTTATTGGTGTCAATAGTCTATCACTTATAATTATTTGGCAGTAGTTGATTGAAACAGGCATACAAAATATTTCACGTCAGCCTTTATTTAGCCTTACCACTTGACATCATGACGTCAAAATGACGTCGACTGGTTAAGGGTTAACTAGTCCACATCAATTTATGTAAAATGTACTCATTCCAGGTAGCAGCCTGATAAATTTTACTGTGGAGTTAATTTCTGCTGAATCCATGCCTGGATATAAGGCACCTGTCACAGACAATGTCTGGCACAGATTCAGGCTTTGTCAGGCACTAATCCTCTGGTGTCATCCCCTCTGCTGGTGCTATTTGGATTAAAATGAACTAAATATTTTTGAAAACTCTAATCAATCCATGTTCCTTACAAATAAGATTTATGTAAACTAAATATTTTAGAGACTTAAAAATACTGTACATACCTGGTTGGCTGTCATCATCATCATCATCATCATCATCGTCATCTTCGTCGTCGTCATCGTCATCATCATCATCTTCCTGCTCAGCCATTTGTCGATATTTTGCTAATATGGAATTCTTTATTTCATCATTTACTCCATCACCCTCATTGTCATCATCATCATCATCATCATCATCATCGTCATCCATTTCAATGTCTTCATCTTCGGAATCATCATCACCCATTTCATCTATTTCAAAGTCATCATCCTCAGAATCATCATCATCATCATCATCATCACTTTCAGGAAGAGTTTTTTTTGCACTTCCCTTTGGTGTACGGCCATTTTTTCTGTTTGCAGGTGTGACGCTGACTGGAGTTTTTGCTGCTGGTTTTGGAGTAGATTTTCCAAGGTTCTTATTGGGTGTCTTTCTACCTCCATTCATTTGACCGTTTGGAGTCTTTGCAGGTGTTTGAACTTTCGGAGTCTTCTTTGATTGATTATTTGGGGTTTTTGCAGGAGCCTGTGGCTTGGGTGTATTTTTGTTGCTCTTATTCGCATTGGGCGTTTTAGCGGGCGTCTGTGGCTTTGGAGTCTTTTTGTTATTCTCATTCAGCGTTTTCGCAGGAGTCTGTTGCTTGGGTGTTTTTGCGGGAGTCTGTTGCTTGGGAGTTTTTGCAGGAGTCTGTTGCTTAGGTGTTTTTGCGGGAGTCTGTTGCTTGGGTGTTTTCTTGTTATTCACGTTTGGTGTCTGTGGTTTTGGTGTATTTTTGTTGTTATTATTAGCGTTGGGCGTTTTAGCTGGCGTCTTTTTGTTATTTGTATTCGGTGTTTTAGCAGGTGTCTGCTTGCCTTTTGGGGTCTTGTTTATGACCGCAATCACTGTTTCTTCCTTTTTAGGGGTTTGGGTAACATTTGCTTTCTTTGCATTGGGAGTATTTTTGGGCTGAGGTGTTTTCGGATTTTTAGGAGTTTTCTGGACAGGTGTTTCTGTTATAACTTTTGGTGTACTTTTCTTCTGAATCGGCGTTTTGGGCTTCGGGGTGCCTTTCTTCGCGGAATTCATTCTAAAGAAAAAAAAAGAAAAAATCAAAGAAAGAAGTTAATAAGAGATGATTTTAAACTGGAAATAAAATGGAGGTTTAACATCCCCTACTTTTCTGCTTTGACTGATACAATGAAAATCACCATAAGCCATATAGTGTGCTATGATGGAAATTTTGCCTGGACAGCATTATGGGTTCTTTTACTTGCATGCCAATGTGTAGGATCCGGTTTTCAACAGAATGACTGACTATACATTGTCCCTTGCTAGTCCCTCTATATAAACCACTGACAAAGTGGAACCACGCTGGAAGATCGATCCAGATGAACTAACTCGATTGACACTGGGATCGAACACAGGACCTCCAGGTAAGTTAGCCACTATGGTTCCCTTAATGATGCTAATTTGAAGATTAAAAATGCAATTTTGCTTGTATAATTTTAAAGAAGCATGGGACAGGTTCAATTGGTCAATTAATGATTTATTATTGAAGATCTCATTCCCATCCCATATTTACATGTAATTACTATTAAATACACTAATTCTGGCTGATCTCCATTTCAAAAGACAGAAACTGAGAAAGATTAAGATTGCTCGCTAATTATTAAAGATCTTTCCTTTCTTTCAGGAAAGTATTTAATTACTCAATTTTAATTTACTTTTATAGAACATTTTCTGAAATCTACCCTCTCCTCATAAAGTTAAAGATCTTTACTCAGTCTTTATTCGCTTTCACACTTTCAAGCAAATATTACTGTTATCTTATCATAGAACATTTTCTGAAATCTGTCCTCTCATAAAATTAATGAATGCGTACTGAATTTAGACAGCCAGGTGGGACATATACTTACTTTTATTCGGAAATAAATAAATGCTTCTTATATCGGAAAAGAGTTCTCGCAATATTTACAAAATTTCTTCCCAACACGTGTTTTAGCGTTTGCTAGTTCTTTAGTTTCGTATTTTAAAGTTCTACTTTATTTTTTACATTTTTTGTGTCTATTATTATGCTTCTACGTCACTATATATGGACAATGTGTAAACTTTATTCTAATATAACAAGCGTTTATAATCCAACGGCTATTTTTGTCGAAAACTACAATAAAGAATCCGAAATCCAAGAAAAACTAGCTTTGAATAATTCATTAGTCTTGATTAACTAGCGTCTATGCATGGTCTATGGGTCTATGGGTCAATGGGTATATTGGACTAGATCTTTTTCACAAGGCTACCTCCAGATTTCGTCAAGCGGTCGTAGAGATGTAATTGTTGACGAGATTCTTGACGAGATCATGGGTTAGGGCTAGGTCCAGGGTTAGGGCTATGGTTAGGGTTAGGGTTAGCGCTAGCTCATTTTACATCTCGTGACCTTTGACCAAATCTGGAGGTGACCTTAAGAAAAAGATCTAAATCGGATTGAAAATGACGCCTGGATGATCAGAATTATGTTGGCTCACTTCCGCCATTAAGCGATGCTTTATTTTTGATGTAAATTGCAAATGAACTCCGTAAAATTCAACTATTAAAGAAGCGACAGTAAAGTAAGGTAATGCCAAAATGCCACGGCTAAAATATTAAAGGAAATTTGAACAAAGAAAGTAAAAAACCCGGCTTGTTTTGTTTTGGTAATTCGATCAATCTCGGTCTCAGTGTGTAAAGACAACAGCAAAAATGGCCACTCACTGGGCCAGGGCTGAGGGCAGGAAATCGATTGTAAAAGGAAGGCGCGTAAATCTTGATTAACCAATGACTGTTGATAAATAAACTTATGATACCTGTATGGCAAATTATTGGGCATTCAATTCATGTTTGATGTGACTTCCATTTTTGTGTTTCAATATTCATTGTTGTGACTTCCGGCGTGGTTCCCCTGGGGTAGGGGTTTCAGGTCAAAGTTTCAAATGACAGAAAAAAAAAATATGTATATATTTTGTGAAAATATACACAAAATGCTACCCAAATTTGTTTATTTCATCAAAATATTCTAATTAGATCCAAAGTTATGAAATTTTAAAATCCTAGATCGACGTCAATAATGTAATCAAAATGCTCTATACCACCAGTCAATGCGTGGCATGGCACCAAAGTGAGTGCTCTTCAGTCATATTTGAGTGACGTCATAAGCGGTATTTTCCCTTCAGAATCGCTAGTACCAATTTTAAAACTGAAATCTGCACGCTATTGTCAGTTGCCGTAGTGCCGCTGTCCAGGCAAAATTTCCCTCATAGCACACTGTATGGCGTATGCCCGTCTTCATCAGCCCAGTTCAGAGCAGAACAGTAGGACGTTAAACCCCATTTCATTTTCATTGTTGTGGCACCACCCCTAACCCAGAATTTATAGATTTTAATCTTAAATACCTGACCCATACCCTAATCCTAACCCTAATAGAAAGTAGGAAGTTCCATGTGGACACAGTGGTGGAATGTAAATGTGATGGAAATAGAAAAGGGAGTCAGATCAAACATGACCGCCAATTATTATTGTTCTGATTTACAGTTTTAGTTAAGGTTTATAATGACAAGTATTGGTTGTGTAGAGTTAGACTAGAGTAGACCCTAGTACATCACATCTTGCTATGCGACATCATAAGATTTATTGATGGACTATTCTTACGACATGGTGGAAGTTGCAATAGTGCATGCACAAGATACAAAATGTTGGACGAGGCAATGCTTTACCTATCGGGCACGGTCTTGAGTGGCACAGAAATGTAGGGCGTGGGGGGAGTTTCATTTCTTATTAGGAAAACATTCGCAAGGCAGTGCAGTATAAATGGCCTACTGGGTATTCATTACGGTTCTGTAAAAATAGCCACTTTGATGAAGTTTTGTACTCATCCCCCCAATTTACGCCATTGATGGATTAGCCTCTTATTCACGACTGGATTTTCAGTTTGCTAGGAAACCACATGTGACATAGTCATGGTATAGGCTGGACACTTATATGTACAATATTTGCCATTTCCATATTTTGTTTTTCTTCAGATTTTGAATTCTACAATATTAAGAGATTATTTTAAAGTAAAACCACAGAATGTCTTTGTTAAATCCAACGTATTTGCAAGCCTCTGCAGCTTCAACTGGTCAGATGAAGAAGAAAAAGAGAGGCCAAGCTCAAGGCCAAATGCAAACAAACCCCATGGCAATGAATAACATGATGATGATGCAAGTACCGGGTTATCAGAACTACGCCAATATGGATCCATCGATGTACATGGATCCATCAACGATGTATGCTATGGCACAAAGTGGAATGTTTAATATAAACCCAGCTATGAACCAGGGCATGATGGCTGCCCAACCGCCACCCCCACCACCATTGATCAATCCACCATTACCAACAAGTGGTAATAAAACGGATTACACAAAGAATGTTAATTTAGCTGGTAAGTATTGAAACAAAAATGGGATGGAATTTAAAATATCAGTTCCGATTCATGTGTTGTGATGGAGTAAAATAAGCTATGGTAATAATTAAAACTGATGGCAAAATATAAGTCTCCAGTATGATACATGTAATGACTGTATATTTTATAAACAGTATGATACATGTACATGTAATGACTATATATTTTATAAACAGTATGATACATGTAATGAGGCTGACCTTAAAAATATCTTTGTTTCGCCTAACGCGACCGACTAACTAAAACCAACCCCGACTTAAATTATTTTATTGCACTTTTCCGCGATCTTTTTATTTTATTTTGTGTGTCAACCTGAAATTTATCACGAGAGTTATTTCCCTTTACTATGGCTATGTTTGATTCATTATTGAAACTGGTTGATCAAGACGAAAGCGTCATAGGTGTCGCTTCTCAACAAAATGGTTGCAGAGGAAAGCACGTCCATTCCCACGAAATGATTCTGCCTCTATATCTGTGGGGCGTCGTTTTAAACATGACGAAGATATTTTCAATATCCGTTTTCGAGAAAAATGAAGGCACAACCCGCACGATCGTTAAAAACGTGTTGAAGGGGTTTCACACTTAGAGTTCGTGGCAAATCGTGTGCGAGTCTCGGAGTCGTGCATCACGAAAAATCCCGATGTCTTACTCATTGATTTGTTTGACAATAAAAAAAGACGAATGTTTCCCCCCCCAGAAAATTATCAAGCTGTCAAATTAGCTCTTTAAAAAAAAATCTGAAAAAAAACCACAACCTACCGACCGTTCTCCTCGATTGTGGGTCGGGTTTGGCGAAACAAAGATATTTTTAAGGTCAGCCCGATTGTATATTTTATAAGCAGTATTATACATGTAATGACTATATTTTATAAACAGTATGATAAATATAATGACTGTATATTTTTAAAACAGTATGATACATGTAAAGACTGTATGATACATGTAATGACTGTATGATACATGTAATGACTGTATAATACATGTAATAACTGTATGATACATGTAATGACTGTATGATACATGTAATGACTATATGATACAGGTAATGACTGTATGATACATGTAATGACTGTATGATACAAGTAATGACTGTATGATACAAGTAATGACTGTATAATACATGTAATGACTGTGTGATACATGTAATGACTGTATAATACATCTAATGAATATGTGTATATTTTATAACTAGGTAAAGAATACAAGAAGAGATCTCGAAATGATTCTGATAAACCACCAGCTAAACGAGTTAAACCTGAAGATAGAGGTAAACGAGCTATGTATTTAAGGCCCAGTATTCTAAGGAGATGGGGTACCCGAATGATCTAACCTGTGCACTTTAGATCATAAGGTCTATCGTTGAGTCATGTGGATTGGTTTCTATACCTTACAATGAAATAAAATTGTACCATATGTCAGTCCCGAAATGACCTAGTTTATTTAGCGTGGAGCTAAATCCCAAATCCCATCTTTCTCTTTCTCTCCCGCTCCGAAAAGGCATTTGTAACAAGGGACACAAAAAACGAGGCTAGATATATTCCACAAGTCATATCAAATGGTGATGCCATATTCTTATCTGGAGAGCAAAGCGCAATAAATACTATCGGTGTAGACTGGAATAACCAGACGCTAGAGATTGCCATTCGATTGAGACTTCTGGTGTATATTGCCGAACATAACTGATTAGAATAGAAATTAAAGTAAAACAGAAACAATTGAATGTAAATCAGTTTATATACATTCATATTACATTGTGACCCATTTGTGTCAATTTTTAGGTCCCAAATATTAACGATTTAGCTTCTTTAATTGAAAAGTACCATACTCAATTACACACAGACCATTTGTTGATGATACACTTTTAAAACAAAATATGTCAATTATGGGGGGTGATTTTCAGCAATTTTGCCTGAAAAAAATCTAGATTACAATTCAGGTGTTCAGTGATTGTATTTGTTATAACGTCAAGTACAGTATTTGTTATTATGTCATGGACAGTATCTGTTTTGTGAATGACTGTGTTTTTGATTATTTCAGTGACTGTATTTCTTGTTATTTCAGTGATTGTATTTGTTATTATTTCAGTGACTGTATTTGTTGTTATTTCAGTGACTGTATTTGTTATTATTTCAGTGATTGTATTTGTTATTATTTCAGTGACTGTATTTGTTGTTATTTCAGTGACTGTATTTGTTATTTTTTCAGTGATTGTATTTGTTATTATTTCAGTGACTGTATTTGTTATTATTTCAGTGATTGTATTTGTTATTATTGCAATGATTGTATTTGTTGTTATTTTCAGTGACTGTATTTGTGGGAGGTTTACATCCCGATTCCGATGAAGATTCTATCTGGGACTTTTTTGATGAGAAAGGTATTGCTCTTACTTCCGTGAGAAAAAAGGACGGAAAAATGTGAGTAATATTCATTAAAAAATGTGAACATTAAAAAAAAAACAAATAACAAATAAATTTGTGGAGTAATATGGCTTTTTGAGTTTCAATTTTTACAATATTCAGGGATTCCTCAATCTCTCAAACTACCATCCAAGACTAATTTGATTAGGACTGTCAAAATATAAATATCAATATATTGCAATACGATCGTCCGTGATACACTGTATCAATGTTTTTCTACTTTTATTTTAATTTTAAATTTTAGCTAGACTGTTTATAAAGACTTCATAATCAGTGAGATTATTTAGGCTTTGCTGTAAACAATAAGTGTGCTAAGCCAAGACCAAAGTTGTAAAAACAAATAAAGTGAAATGTGTATTCACATAATCAGTCATATTATAGGCTTTGCAGTAAACAGTAAGTGTCCAAGACGAAAGGGGGGGTTGGATGGCCGAATGGTTAGCACGTGCGTGCTGTATTGTAAGGCCTGTCATTGAGTCAGCTGGCGTGGTTTCGAATCCCCGGTTGTACGTGACAAGGAGTAGGGTCGCCTGTCCAACCTCATGGGTTTTCTCTGGGTCCTCCGGTTTCCTCCCACTGCTAAAGACCCCTACGGGCAATCGATTTTATTGAAATAAAATTAAACCATATGTTAGTCCCGAAATTGTAAAGTTGTAAAAACAATAAAACCATTCAAAATTAAACTATGCTTTATGATAAACCCTGACTTTATCGAAGTATTACAATACTGCAATATATTGAAATACTTTTTGTCAAGTATCGCAATTTATTGCAATAAGATTTCTGGCCGCAATACACAGCCCTATGTGTGATTAATTAACATGTGTCATCTATTTATTTGGGGTTTGATTATTATTTCTATAAACAGGTTTGGTCACATTGATTTAGTTAATCCGGGAGATTTACATAAAGTTTTAGCAATCAATGGTGAAATGTTCATGGGATTTCCAGTTCGACTTGAAAAATCTTCAGTTGCCCCACCAGCTGTTACTACAGGTGAGTTGAAATTTGATTAAACTTAACTCTGAAAAGGTGCCACGGTGGCTAAATGGGTAAGATGCTGGCTCGCTGGCCTGGAGATCGCGTGTTCGATCCCTGCATTAACGAATGTAATATATATGTAAGATGTATTTACATGTACACTGTAACCCATGTATCATTTAATCTTGTGTATCTAGCACTAATTTCTTTCATATTCGTTTAATATCAAATCTTTGTTTAAAAATTCTCATGTGAATAAATGTCTAATAATTAATTTATATAACATTTGAAGACAAAATTGACAGGTAATTGATTTGATGGTCTTTAGGAGGTTTGGATGGCCGAATGATTAGCACGTGCGTGCTGTATCATAAGGTCTGTCATTGAGTCAGCCGCCTGTCCAACCTTTGTGGGTTTTCTCTGGTTCCTCCAGTTTCCTCCCACTGCTAAAGACCCCTATGCGCAAGCAAATTATTGAAATAAAATTGAACCATGTGTTAGTCCCAAAATGACCTAGTTTGTGTCGAGTGGACGTTAAGGCCCATTTCTCTCTCTTTCTTTGATGGTGTTTATGATATTATTTTAATATGGCTTTAATTTTTATTTAACAGAAGGGAAGGATACAAAGACATTGTTTGTAGCTAATCTATCGGACTCAGTCACAGAACAAACATTACGTGAGTTTTTTCCCGACAGTTTAGAAGTACGATATCCTGTGGATAAATCTGGTACACATGTTGGGTGAGTTATTTATGTTTACGACCATTTGTCCACCTTCCAGGGAACCACGGTTCCCAGTTAGTAAGACGCTGAAGGTCTCAGGTTCGCCCCTAGTGTTGGTCGAAAAAAAGTTCCTTATGATATGGGTACGGCCTGGCATTCAGGTTAAGCTTATAGTGTTAGAGGGGTTGTGGGGGGGTAGATGGCCGAATGGTTATCATGTGTACACTGTATAATAAGGTCTGTCATTGAGTCATCTGGCGTGGTTTCGATTCCCCAGTTGTACGTGACAAGGAGTAGGGTTGCCTGTCCATCCTCGTGGGTTTTTTTTTGTATCCTCCAGTTTCCTTCCACTGCTAAAGACACCTATGCGCAAGCGAATTATTGAAATAAAATTGAACCATGTGTTAGTCCCAAGACCTAGTTTGTGTTGAGTGGAGTTAAAACCATCTCTCTCTCTCTCTCTCTCCCTTCCTGGGAGGCGCGGTTGCTCAGTAAGAAGCTGCCTGTTACCAGGAGGTCTCAGGTTCCGCTCATAGTGTTGACCAAAAAAAAGTACTTTTTGATTTTCTGATGTGTTTTCCCTGGTCATTGGCGCATTGCATGACAGAAGACAAGGAACAGTGTCTAGTCATTTGGATGGGACAAAAAAAGAGGTCCTATGTACACATTGGCGTGCACATGAAAGAACCTTTGACAAATGGAATTCTAAATAGGAGTACATGTAGATCCTACTGCCACTGTACAGACAAAATGTCCCTCATAGCACACTGTATGGCGTATGCCCATCTTCATTATCCCAGTCGGTGCAGAACAGTAGGATGTTAAACACTATTTGTTATTAGGCTCAAGGCATCAATTAAGTAAATCTGCACAAGATAACCCCCCTGTTGTAATTGGTAATTGTGATATATTTTCATCTTATTCTGCTCGTAATATTGGCGCTATCTTTGATAGTTTTATGCTTATGGGAGCTCAAGTAAATAATATTTGTAAATTGTGCTATTTTAATATTAGAAATATAGGTAAAATACGTAAATGTGTAACTGTAGAGGCCACTAAGCCACTTGTTAATTCTCTGGTCACTTCTCGATTAGATAACTTTAATTCACTTTTAGTTGGTTTACCTTTAAAGCTTATAGATAAATTACAAAAAGTACAGAATACTGCAGCTAGACTTGTTACTTTAACTAAGAAATGTGACCAAATAACTCCTGTTTTATATAATTTACACTGGTTACCTGTTAAATATCGAATTGATTTTAAGATTTTATTACTTACTTTTAAATGTTTAAATAATTTAGCTCCTGTTTACCTCTCAGATCTTTTAGAACTTTATACACCTGGCCGAACATTACGTACATCAGATAAACTACTTTTAAAGCCCAAAACTGTTCAACTAGTCTCTTATGGTCAGCGCTCTTTTAGTTTTCAAGCACCTGTTTTATGGAATAATCTACCATTTAGTTTAAGATGTTGTACATCTCTGTATTCTTTTAAAAAACAACTTAAAACACATTTATTTAATCAGGCTTTTAACTGACTCTGTATACAATCGTTAACATGCCCATAATCTTGTTGTTTATGTGTGATTTACATTGTCACTTTGTAAAGTGCCTCTGAACATGTTATATGAAAGGGTGCACTATAAATATGCTGTAATAATAATAATAATAATAATTGCCAGTTGAGAAATTGGCAAAAATATCATTTTCAACTTCAAATTCAAACGTTTGAAGATAGCTATTCCATGGGGGGGAATAGAAAAACAAGGGAGGTAATTGTGTTACTATTCCTGGGGTCAAGGATTTATAAGTGGGAGAATGGTACCTATGATCGAATAATAGGGAGTTGACAACCTATTGAGCAAAAGACATAGAAATAATTATGTTTTGACTTTCTTAGAAAATAAGAAATTCTCGCTTTAATGGCGCGTGCATTGTTTACATAAGACGCTACTAGACTGGGCAGAATGGTACCTTTTACTCATTTTACATTCGCATTTATGCTTAATAGGAAATATTTGTTACCTACATATATTTCAAACACCTTTATTTATTTTTCAGATGCTTAAAAAAAATTGTTTTAGAATTTAATATGCAGAAGGAAAAAAGTTGATATTTGGGGCTCATTAAGTCGCATTGATGTCATCCCTATCAGTGATTGTAGTTGACTAGCGAATATTCACTGCTGATCAGTTTGTTGGAGCTGAATGAAGTTCTCATTTGATTGACTTGAAATACTCACTGTTCATGGCATGAAGAATCCTATTGAAATGAATCAATTTCACACAGTCCGTCCTTGATCACTCAGAGGAAATGAGCGCAGACTACATATATCACCCTATTGGTTTGAAATTCATACACAGAGTTTTATGTTCATATTGGTTTTTTTATAACTGTTATCAGAGTTATTGCCCTTGTTCATTTTGAAAAATCTTGTTATTTCAGTTACGCCTTTATCAAGTACGGGGATGAGGCAAAAGTCAAGTCACTGATTGACGAATTTCAGGGGGTGAGTTTAGAAGGAAACTCGATGATCTTAGATTATGCTGCTGGTAAAAACCCCACCGCACATAAAGGACCTTCAGACGGTAAGATACGGAAATTTTCTTTGGATATGTGGGGGTTGTGTGGCCGAATTGGTTAACGTTGTGTGCGTGTTAGATCCTGAGGTCTGTCATTGACTCAAGTGGAGTGGTTTCGATTCCCTGCTTGTGCGTGACCAGGAGTAGGGTTTGTGACAAAGTGCATGGAGCATATCATATTAAGATTATATTGTATACATGCATAGAACCAATTTGAACCTCACATGTGCGAACCAATTTGAACCCCACATGTGCGAACCAATTTGAACCCCACATGTGCGAACCAATTTGAACCCCACATGTTATTGATCTATGATATGAGATATACTATCCACTACACGTCCACAACATAGACGGAGGGTTGGATGGTCGAATGGTTAACGTGTGCACATTGTATCATAAGGTCCGTCATTGAGTCAACTGGCGTGGTTTCGATTCCCCGGTTGTACATGACAAGGAGTAGGGTCGCCTGTCAAACCTTGTGGTTTCCTCCCACTGCTAAAGACCCCTACGCGCAAACGAATTATTGAGATAAAATTGAACCATGTGTTAGTCCCGAAATGACCTAGTTTGTGTCAAGTGGACGTTAAACCCCATTTCTCTCTCTCTCACTACATATATACACATATTTGATATCACAATGGTTTATGATTTATTTTTCAGGAGATAAAGACCCAAATTCATTGTTTGTTGGGAATATAACAAAAACTGCTACTAAAGAAGTTATATCTAAACTTTTCCCAAAATGTTGTGAGGTTAGATTTCCTAATGGAGAAGGCAAATCAAAGTGAGTCAACATCTATTAACTTGTATTTTTATTATTTTTTGGAGCAGGACAACTAGGTGGCAGTTGTCCCATTGAACAGTTATCCTGAGGGCAATTGTTGTAGGGGACTGTTATCCTGGGCACAGTTATCCTTGGGAGCAATTGTTGTAGGGGACAGTTATCCTGGGGGCAATTGTTGTAGGGGACAGTTATCCAGGGGACAGTTATCCTTGGGAGCAATTGTTGTAGGGGACAGTTATCCCGGGGGCAATTGTTAGAGGGGACAGTTATCCAGGGGTCAGTTATCCTTGGGAGCAATTGTTGTAGCAGACAGTTATCCAGAGGGCAATTGTTTTAGGGGACAGTTATCCAGAGGGCAGTTATCTTGGGGGAAATTGTTGTAGGGGTCAGTTATCCAGGGTTCAGTTATCTTAGGGGGCAATTGTTGTAGGGGACAGTTATCCAAGGGGCAGTTATCTTGGGGGCAATTGTTGTAGGGGACAGTTATCCAGGGGGCAGTTATCCTGGGGGCAATTGTTGTAGGGGACAGTTATCCAGGGGACAGTTATCCTGGGGGCAATTGTTGTAGGGGACAGTTATCCAGGTGTCAGTTATCCTTGGGAGCAATTGTTGTAGGGGACAGTTATCCTTGGGAGCAATTGTTGTAGGGGACAGTTATCCTGGGAGCAAATGTTGTAGGGGACAGTTATCCAGGGGGCAATTGTTGTAGGGGACAGTTATCCAGGGGGCAGTTATCCTTGGGGGCAATTGTTGTAGGGGACAGTTATCCAGGAGGCAGTTATCTTGGGGGAAATTGTTGTAGGGGGACAGTTATCGATATATAAGTCTAAACAGAGTTTAAGACGATTGCCAGAATCTTCCTGAAAAATGTATCGACTTATGACCCGAAAAATATGCTAATTTCAGAGGAATTTGAAACGGGTACGGATCGGCAGTATTTGGCACGCTTTCATTTTTGGTATTACGATGTCATGTCATTTTGTAGGAATATTATTGACATAAATTTGAATACCGTACTTCTCCGAATTTTATTCAGCTGAATTGGTGGACACACTAGGCGAATGCTGCGCCCAATTCACCAGTTGATTGCATCACCTTTCACGTCACATGATTAAACATGGCGCCAACCATTCGGCTAGTGTGTCCACCGCTTAAGTGCAGTAGATTCACAACATGTAAGATGTTAAACTCTTGTTTCATGAAGACTTAAAGATACATTATGGGAGATTAGATAAAGAGCTGACAGTTTTCGCTATAATAGTTAAAAACAAGATACTGTAAAGGTAATTTGTTGAAAATTTCAGTCAAATTGGTCCACTATGAACTGAGATATCAGCTTTGTAAATTTTCGTCTAGCCTCGTTCATCATTACTAAAGTTAGTACGTTAAAAAGCATAGTCTCGATTATCCATTGTTTTGATTTAATTATCAGTGAGCGTTTGCAGCATATAGGATTCTAATCCAGTCGATATCGCAGGCTAGCGATGCCATCTAGAGTTGATTATGGTCTCGATAAGTTAATTAATGACTAATTAATAATTTAGATAACATTTCAGGTCTAAAGAAAGACCTGCGATAGGCAGATTTAGCTCTTGCATAATGCATGTTTAAAATAACTTTTCTTCCATTGTAGTTTTTGTTTTATAAAATTTGAGGACCCGAAAGATGCCAGGGAAACGTTTAATGATAAAGAGAAAATACAGCTTGATGGTAAAAATCTAATAATAGATTACGCAGTGTCCAAACAAGGCAGAAAAAAAAATGATGGTAAGTATTTGAAACTAATTATTTATATGTTTCAAACACCAAATGATGTATTTCATTGCGGAAGTGTTGAACTTTAGGAGCTGAGACTAGAATTGAAACTGATTCAAACACGTAATCATGTATTTCATTGCGTAAGTGTTGAACTCTAGGGGCTGAGACTAGAGTTGAAACTGGTTCAAACACCAAATGATGTATTTCATTGCATAAGTGTCGAACTTTAGGAGCTGAGACTAGATTTGAAACTGATTCAAACACGTAATCATGTATTTCATTGCATAAGTGTCGAACTTTAGGAGCTGAGACTAGAATTGAAACTGATTCAAACACGTAATCATGTATTTAATTGCGGAAGTGTTGAACTCTAGGGGCTGAGACTAGAGTTGAAACTGGTTCAAACACCAAATCATGTATTTCATTGCATAAGTGTCGAACTTTAGGAGCTGAGACTAGAATTGAAACTGATTCAAACACGTAATCATGTATTTAATTGCGGAAGTGTTGAACTCTAGGGGCTGAGACTAGAGTTGAAACTGGTTCAAACACCAAATGATGTATTTCATTGCATAAGTGTCGAACTTTAGGAGCTGAGACTAGAATTGAAACTGATTCAAACACGTAATCATGTATTTCATTGCGTAAGTGTTGAACTCTAGGGGCTGAGACTAGAATTGAAACTAAGCTATTTGCATGTTTCAAACACTAAATGATGTATTTCATTGCATAAGTGTCGAACTCGAGGGGCTGAGACTAGAATTGAAAGCTATTTATATGTTTCAAACACCAAATCATGTATTTCATTGCAAAGTGTCGAACTCTACTGGCTGAGACTAGAATTGAAACTAAGCTATTTATATGTTTCAAACACCAAATGAAATATTTCATTGCATAAGTTTCAAACTCTAGGGGTTGAGACTAGAATTTAAGCTGATTCAAACATCAAATAATGTATTTCATTGTTTTGACCTCTAACGACCGAGACAAGATTTAAACTGGTTCAAACACCTAATGATGTATTATGATTATCAAACTCTAGGAGCTGAGACTAGAAGTATTTATAATGTTTGTGTCGAAGTCTAGGGGCTGAGACTAGAAATATTTATAATGTTTGTGTCGAACTCTAGGGGCTGAGACTAGAAGTATTTATAATGTTTGTGTCGAACTCTAGGGCCTGAGACTAGAAATATTTATAATGTTTGTGTCGAACTCTAGGGGCTGAGACTAGAAGTATTTATAATGTTTGTGTCGAACTCTAGGGCCTGAGACTAGAAGTATTTATAATGTTTGTGTCAAACTCTAGGGGCTGAGACTAGAAGTATTTATAATGTTTGTGTCAAACTCTTGGGACTGAGACTAGAAGTATTTATAATGTTTGTGTCAAACTCTAGGGGCTGAGACTAGAAATATTTAATAATGTTTGTGTCAAACTCTAGGGGCTGAGACTAGAAATATTTAATAATGTTTGTGTCGAACTCTAGGGGCTGAGACTAGAAATATTTAATAATGTTTGTGTCGAACTCGAGGTGCTGAGACGGGAAATATTTAATAATGTTTGTGTCAAACTCTAGGGCCTGAGACTAGAAGTATTTATAATGTTTGTGTCAAACTCTAGAGGCTGAGACTAGATGTATTTAATAATATTTGTGTCAAACTCTAGGGGCTGAGACTAGATATAGTTAATAATGTTTGAGTTAAACTCTAGGGGCTGAGACTAGAAGTATTTATAATGTTTGTGTCGAACTCGAGGGGCTAACATTACGATATACAGTAGAATCTGTATGAGCAGCCACTCCTATTCAGCGACATCTCCTTGTAAGCGGTCACGATAAATTCCCCCCATAGAAATTCTGTTGTTTCATCTCTTTATTCAACGGTCACTCCTCTAACGCGGCCAGCGGTCACTATTTTACCAATAAATTCAACAAAACATCGCCCATTCAACGGCCATTGTTGAATGATACCATCTTGTCGTTCTTTGTAACAACCCCGCTAATCCCGTGAGTAGTAGTTAATTAACTGGACCCCCACTGATCAGATAAAAAGAAATGTAAAAATAACAATCAACCCGGGATTATCTGTTAATTAATCTTTTGTTTTATTAAACGACTAACCTCATCATTGTTTTCACGCGTAACGACATATTATTTGATACTGATTGAATAAAATAAAAGTACCGAGTTTTGTCACAATCATCTAGTATCTCTCTTAGGGCCTCCTATAATATTACATACAGAGTTACACCCCCTGTAAATGGGTGATAAAATAAGCGATGTTTTTTTGTTCATGTGCTTTCACAAAGATGGATAAATATTATCGAATGCATCACAATGGTAGGCAGTAGTATCGAAGGTTGGTACAAAATGACAAGTTTACAGAAGTTAAGTCTGAGATTTGAGTAAAGAATTTTCGTTCGGCGCAAGATTCAGCGGCAGTCAAATTTACCGCTTCCAATGCATTCAAGCGTAATATTTGATTTATGTCAGCACAAAAAGCACCAAGATTATATTAAGAGGCCACTCCCGTTAAGTTATGTCCGGGATTTGAGTAAAGAATTTTCGTTCGGCGCAAGATTCATCGACGGCCAAATTTACCGCTTCCAATGCATCCAAGCGTAATATTTAATTTATGTCAGCACAAAAGCAACGAGATTTTATTAAGAGGCCACTCCCGTTAAGCGGTCAGTTGTGAAAATTCCCTTGGGTGGCTGCTTAATGCAGATTCTACTGTAACTAGAATGTACCAGGTTCTTAGGTTTAAATTATCGTGATTTGTCTTAATCTGCCCATTCAATGCAAAAACATAGGCGGTAAAACATGATTTCATATTATACTATACTTGTTAATTGAGAAAAATGGGATAGAAAACTAAGTTCGTAGCTGTGGCCGAAACACGCGACTGTCTGGGTACATTGCTGACCTCACATTATACCTATAGAATAATTAGTGTTATTATGACTATAAACCCCTATTCTATTTTATTTCATTTTATCGAATATCAAGGCAGTTTGTCAATTAGTCTTACTGTTAGTGTGCAAATTGGGTTAAAAAGCTGGACATATTTTGCTGGAATTTGTTGACAACTTGCTACTGGTGGGCGTATACAAATCCCCCCCCCACCCCTCTTTTATTTGTTGTAATTGTCTGTCTGTCCATGTGTCTGTCTGCGTGTCAACCTGTCACACTTTTTGCTACACAATAACTCTACTTCTAATTGAACACGAATGTTCAAACTTGGTGTTGGTGTCTGTTTTTAAGCATATGTCATCTATTTATTTTGGGGTTGTTGTGGGGGAGATCAGCCTAACTTTTGGCTTGTTTCCATTTTCCGGCGTGGTTCCCCCTTGTCAGTGATGCAGGACGGAGGGTCTGACAAGAACAGCTGTCTAGTCTTTCGGATGGGACAAAAAACTGAGGTCCCGCGTACACATTGGCGTGCACGTAAAAGATCCCTTGGCAGTTGGAATTCGATATAAGAGTAGGCCGTATCGTGGTAAAATTTCCCTCATAGTTATAGCACACTGCATACCTGTCTTTATTATCCCAGTCGGAGCAGAAAAGTAGGACATTAAACCCCCATTTTTCATGACATATACATGTTGAAAGTAGATCGAAAAGCTGCTGCCTGGGCAAAATGTCTCTCATATGAGTCATTGCACACTGTAAGGTGTATGTCTGTCTTCATTAGCATTATTAACACTGTAACCCAGGTATCATTTAATCTTGTGTATCTAGCACTAATTTCTTTCACATTCGTTTAACATCAAATCTTTGTTTAAAAATTCGTAAAAACTGTTTAAAATCACCATAAATGGTTTAATTTGTACTTCTGCCAGTTTAAAGCTGACCATTCAATATTGATGATGAGTGTCCAATTTACAACTTACAAGTGTTTAATTTCTCAATCACTGTTAAAAAACCCCCCAACCCAATTGATTAATGATGTTGTATAATGATTAACTTTTGAACAGTGGTCAGGAAATTAAATACTTGTAAATTGGACACTCATTATCAAAATTAATTTATCAGCTTTAAACTGGACACAAGTACAAATTAGATGATTTGAAGTGATTTTAAACAGTTTTTACGAATTTTTAAACTAAGATTTGATATTAAACGAATGTGAAAGAAATTAGTGCTAGATACACACGATTAAATGATACCTGGGTTACAGTGTAAACCCCATTTCATTTCATTTATTAAAATATGTTATAACTTATATTATGCTACTTTACAGGTCCTGATTCCGGTGCTACTCGTATTCTTGTAGTTAAAAATTTATCTTTTAAAACAAATGAAGCTCGTTTACGACAAGAATTCCCAGAAATCCACACTGTCCGTATGGTCTATTTTCCTGGCACTGAAAGGCCAAAAGGGTGAGAATTAAATGCTGTAGCATTTAAAGAAACTGATGTTTATATTTTTCTCTCAACAAAGGAGCTCCTTTTTTTTTTATCATGGTCTTTGAAACTTTATTCTTAGGACTTGTTACATTTTAGTAAGGGCGGGGCGCTAGGTGGTCAAGTAATTTTACTCATATCACAATTTTTGTCATTGAGTCAAGTGGCATGGTTTCGAGTGTTATGTGAGTTGGGTTGCCTGTCCAACATCGTTGGTTTTCTGCGAGTCCACTGGTTTCCTCCCACTGCTAAAGACCACTACAGCAAAAAATGAATGGAATAAAATATTAAGCCATGTGTTATTCATGAAGTGACTAAATGGAGGTTAAACCTCTCTCTCTTAATGGGGGGGAGGGGTCACATGGCTAAGTGGGTAAGACGCTGGCACGGTAGTCTGGAGGTCAGGTGTTCGATCCCTGCATTGGCCGAGAAATTTCGTCCCGATTTTCCGGCGTGGTTCCCTCCTCCTTGTCAGTGATGCAGGACGGAGGGCCTGACAAGGACATGTACAAATTGGCATGCACGTAAAAAATCCCTTGACAGTTGGAATTCAATATAAGAGTAGGCCGTGGTGCCGCTGTCCAGGCAAAATTTTCCTAATGGCACACTGTATGCTGTATGCCTGTCTTCATTTCTCTCGCAAGGGTTGTTGAGGTGGGGGTATGGGGGGGGGGGTCAATACTCCCGAGTCTTAAAGGGTTAAGGATCAAGAATTAAAACAAGTGGTGTTAATTACTCAACACCCTTTGTAAACCCAACACCCATCTGATCCAGACAGAACATTTTAGACAATGCGACATTACTAACCAAATAGTTTGTACCATTTCTTAACAAATTTGAACAATTAGTCAACAATGGTTTGAAACTAAACATTAAATACAAAAACTCTTGCTTAAATAACACAATTACATGATACCTGAGTTGTAGTGTATAAACCATTAAAGGGGCGCCGTCACTTCGTCAATATAAAATATTAAAGGGCTGTCACTTAGGCTATATATAACATTAAAAGGGTCGTCCTCTCGTTTATGAAACATAAAAGGGCTGTCCCCTCATCTATATAAAACATTAAAAGGGCTGCCCCCTCTTTTATAAAAAAACATTAAAAGGACTGCCGCCTCGTCTATATAAAACATTAAAAGGACTGTTCCCTCGTCTTTATAAAAAATGAAAAGGGCCGTCCTCACATTTTTATAAAAAATTAAAAGGGCCGTCCCCTCGTCTGTATAAAACATTAAAAGGGCCGTCACTTAGTTTATATAAAACATTAAAATGTCCGTCCCCCATGTCTATTTAAAATATTAAAAGGACTGTCCTGTTGTCTATATAAAACATTAAAAGGACTGTCCCCTCATCTGTATAAAACATTAAAAGGGCTGTCACTTAGTCTACATAAGCATTAAAAGGTTTGTTCCCCCTTTCTATATTAAACATTAGAAGGGCTGTCACTTAGTCTATATAAAACATTAAACAGGTCGTCCCCCCTGTCTATGTAAAACATTAAAAGGGCCGTCCCCTCGTCTGTATATAACATCAAAAGGGCCGTCCCCCTGTCTATATAAGATTAAAAGTGTTGTTCCCTTGTCTATATAAAAGGTCTGTCATTTTGTATAAAACATTAAAAGGACCGTCACCTTGTCTGTATAAAGCATTAGAAGGTCTGTTCCCTTGTCTATATATAGCATTAAAAAGGCTGTCCCCTCATCTTTATAAAATGTTAAAAGGTCCGTCCCCTCGTCTATAATAAACTATTACAAACTGTGAAAGGTCCGTCCCCATGTCTATATTTAACATTAAAAGGCCCTCGCCTCATCTGTATAAAACATAATAAGGACTGTCCCCTTGTCTATTTAAAACTTTAAAAGGACTGTCCACTCATCAACTGTTCTCTTGTATATAAATAAATAAAAACCATTAAAGACATGATGCGTCATTGTATCAAATTTTTCATGGCTTATTAATACACACTAAATATGTACTCAGATTGATTATTTAACATTTAATTAAGAAAACAAACGCTACATAATCTCTCAGCTTGGATTCAGTTGGATTTAACATGTAATCTCAAAATCAATTCATTGTTTACAATACTGTTTAATGAAATTATCTTAAGGAAGTGTATTAGCCACATGCAATGAGCGGGACCTGGCTGTCAATGTTATGGCTAAATCTATTTGTTAAGGCCAGTTCAATTTTCGTCAACGTTGCTGAGATGTAAATAAGGTTAGATGGATGAAATGTCAATTCTGAAAGTAACAACCATTTGTGGACTACTATTCCTATTAGTGATTGATCTTTCACAATATTGTAGTTCACAAGTGATTCCAATAGCGCTAAATGACGCATCAAGTCTTAAATTTAAAAGACTGTCTTATCATTTGAATAAAGCTATTTTAACTTGTCCGTCCCCTCCTTAATATAACCACTTTTAATAGGCTGTCCTCTCGTCAAAAGAAACCATTAAAAGGGTGTCCTCTCGTCCAAATAAAACGTTCAAACGGCTGTCCTATCGTCAAAAGAAACCATTAAAAGGGTGTCCTCTCGTCCAAATAAAACGTTCAAACGGCTGTCCTATCGTCAAAGAGAAACCATTAAAACGGCTTTCCTCTCATCCAAATAAAACATTTAAAGCGCTGTCCTATCGTCAAAAAGAAACCATTAAAACTTCTGTCTCATCTAGATAAAACATTTAAATGACTGTCCACTTGTCAAAAAGAAACCATTAAAAGGGCTGTCCTCTGGTCCAAAGAAACTATTAAAAGGACTGTCCTCTCGTCATAAATAAAGTATTAAAACGGCTGTCCTCTCGTCCAAATAAAACATTTAAAGGGCTTTCCTCTCGTCCAAATAGAACATTTAAAGGACTGTCCTTTCAAAACTATTTAAACGGCTGTCCTCTCGTCCAAATAAAACATTTAAAGGGCTTTCCTCTCGTCCAAATAGAACATTTAAAGGACTGTCCTTTCAAAACTATTTAAACGACTGTTCTCTCGTCCAAATAAAACATTCAAACGACTGTCCTCTCGTCCAAATAAAACATTCAAAGGACTGTCCTCTCGTCCAAATAAAACATTCAAAGGACTGTCCTCTCGTCCAAATAAAACATTTAAAGGGCTAAATTATTTAAAGGGCTTTCCTCTTGTCCAAAAAGAAACCATTAAAACGGCTGTTCTCTCGTCCATATAAAACATTCAAAGGACTGTTCTTTGTCCGTAGAAACAATTAAAACGGCTGTCCTCTTGTCCCAAAAAAAACATTCAAAGGACTGTCCTTTCATCCGTTAAAACAATTAAGTCTGTTATCTTGTATGTTTATAAATATACATATATTATCAAGACTGTTCGCTAATGTTCATTGACATTTACTAACTCACCTTCTAACATTAAAAAGTCTCTCTATCTGTGGTGGCCGAATGGTTAACGTGTGCGCGTTGCATTAGAAGGTCTGTCATTGAGTTAAGTGACGAGATTTCTATTTCCTGCTTGTACGTAACAAGGATTAGAGTCGCCTGCCCAGCCTCAAGGGTTTTCTCCGGGTCCTCTGGAAGTATTGAAATAAAATTGAACCATATGTTAGTCCCAAAATGACCTAGTTTGTGTTGAGTGGACGTTAAAAAGCATATATCTCCCTCATGATAGCACTCTGCATGGCTGCATGACATATTCTCGTCATCATTAGCCTAGTTGGTGAAGTAAAGTAGGATGTTAAAAACACGTTTCATTTATTTGAGATAAAGATGCATTATGTAAGATTTAGATAAAGAGCTGGCCGTTTTTCCGATAATTGTATAAAAATAGATAATAAAAGATAAATATATTGAAAATATCAATCAAATTACTTTATTCTGGGTCTGAGGGAGGTTGGATGGCCGAATGTATCATAAGGCCTGTCATTGAGTCAACTGGTGTGGTTTCGATTCCACGGTTGTACATGACAAGGAGTAGGGTCGCCTGTCTAACCTCGTGGGTTTTCTCCAGGTACTCCGGTTTCCTCCCACTGCTAAAGACCCCTACGCACAAGCGAATGATTGAAATAAAATGAAACCATATGTTAGTCCCGAAATGACCTAGTTTGTGTCGAATGGACGTTAAACCCTCTCTCTCTCTCTTTATTCTGGGTCTGAGCAAAGTTATGAATGCTTGAAGTTTTGACAAGATATAGTCTAGACTTGATTCTCAAGTACCATTGCCATGATAATAAACAAAGTCTTGGTTGTCCAGTTGCATGATCTAATCCATTTAATATTACACCTAGTTGTTTGGGATGAAAAACCAAGGACCTTTGTATACATTGGTGTTGTACGTAAAAGATCCCATGGCAGTTGGAATTCGATATAAGAGTAGGCCATTGTGCCACTGCCCGGGCAAAATTTCCCTCATAGCACACTGTATGATGTATGCCCGTCTTCATTAGCCCAGTAGGAGCAGAACAGTAGGACATTAATCTACCTTTCATTTCATTTTATAACATTTGAAGCTAGAGAAAAGTCCTGCAGATTTAGATCTTACATAATGCATCGTTAAATTCTGCTCTGTGAATACAACATGCAGTAAGAAGTGTGGATAAACTTTCATTAATGTTTTTATTTTCCAGATACGTTTTCCTAGAGTTTCAAACCGTGGAGGATGCTGAGGAGGTTTATTATGAGATTAATGAAGTGGGTAGAACCATTCATGGACGAGTCGTAATAGCAGAATATGCCCTAGAGAAAGGTAATAAAGTTTTAAAGATACATTTCCGCGTACAAACTTTGTGATTTGATGATATATTTGGACTAAAAACATGTTCAAACTACTTTGCCCAGTGCTTGCCTCATGGGCGTTTTTTGGGTAATCCAGTATTTTTCTAGTAACATTGGGTGTCTATCACTGTAACCCAGGTATCATTTAATCTTGTGTATCTAGCACTAATTTTTTTCACAATTGTTTAATATCAAATATTTGTTAAAAATTCGTAAAATCATTTAAAATAACTCAAAATCATCTAATTTGTACTTGAGTCCAGTTTAAAGCTGACTGATCAAGAAATTAAACACTTGCAAATTGGACACTCATTATCAAAACTGAATGGTCAGCTTTAAATTGGACACAAGTACAAATTAGATGATTTGGGGTGATTTTAAATGATTTTTACGAATTTTTAAACAAAAATTTGATATTCAATGAATGTGACAGAAATTATTGCTAGATACACAAGATTAAATGATACCCAAGTTACAGTGCAATCATGTATAATTGATGAGATTGGAAATCATCTAGACAAACTTTCAGCAAGTGTTTACTACAATCTGATCCAAATACAGTTCTGTATTACGTTTCGTTATTTTATACTTTCGATGACCTACACTACATGAAGATCTGAGCAGTTGTAGTGGGATATTGTGTCAGGGGTCAAATGAGCAGCTTTTGACCCTATAATTTCAGGGGGGGTTGGATGGCTGAATGGTTAGCGTGTGCGCGCTGTATCATACAGTCTGTCATTGAGTCGACTGGCGTGGTTTCGAATCCCTGGTTGTACGTGGCAAGGAGTAGGGTCGCCTGTCCAACCTCGTGGGTTTTCTCCGGGTCCTCCGGTTTCCTCCCACTGCTAAAGACCCCTACGCGCAAGCAAATTATGTAAATAAAATTAAACCATATGTTAGTCCCGAAATGACCAGCTTGTGTCGAGTGGACGTTAAACCCCATTTCTCTCTCTCTCTCTCTATAATTTCAGACATTTGATTAACCATTCAGCGTTGATGTTTCTAGTAGGGTACCCACAGTTCTGTGCATCATACGCCAAGAACTCGCTACAACAGCCTGTTTCATTGGCTAATTCCTCACATCAACCAGAACTTGGGTTATATAACAACTCTTCCAGATCCTAGTGTAGTACAGACAAAACGAAATTTTGAACTATAAAAAACGAAACTAAATAGGATCCGTGTTTTAATAAGATTGGAGTACAACATGAGAATATATAATACTGATGTAATGGATTTGAAAACAAGCAGAAGCTTATATAGATTCATCTCCATGGGGGGGCGGGGGGGCTTTACTCTTGGTTATCCAGTTTCCTTCAGCAGGAAAGACCCCTGCGCGAGCGCTAAGATAATTAAAATAAGACAACTTGTCTGCGATATCACAGGGGGTTGGGTGGCCGAATGGTTAGCATGTACGGTCTGTCATTGAGTCAACTGGTGTGCTGGTGTGGTTTCGATTCCCCGGTTGTACGTGACAAGGAGTAGGGTCGCCTGTCCAACCTCCTTGGTTTTCTCCGGGTTCTCAGATTTCCTCCCAGTGCTAAAGATCCATACGCGCAATCGAATTGTTGAAATAAAATTGAACCATGTGTTAGTCCCAAAATGACATAGTTTATGTCGAGTGGACATTAAACCCCGTCTCTCTCTCTCTCTCTGTGATATCAGCGCAAGGGGAAGCGGATGTTAAACACTAATGAAAGAAGGATTACTGATTATGTCTTGTAATGTTTCAGGTTCACAGGCTTACAAAAAACGAGGTAAAATCCGAGATGTAGAAAAAGCTGAAGAATTTAAACGGAAATCTTTGTGGGGTCCACAAGGTATGGCTTATGAGGGAGTTGAAATTCCTAGTAACTTTGCATATGGAAATTATCCTGGAGCGTTCCAAGGTCAAGAAATGGGACTTGATGCGGGAGCTGCCGCTGGTGGATGGGGTAATACCAATGCTTCTAAATTTACTCAGGATGCTGATGAGGGATGGGTAGATAACTCTGGTGGGTGGGGAGGTAACTCTGGAGGATTTGGAGGAAACCCTGGAGGATTTGGAGGTAACCCTGGAGGATTTGGAGGTAACCCTGGAGGATTTGGAGGTAATTCTGGAGGATTTGGAGGTAACTCTGGAGGATTTGGAGGAAACCCTGGAGGATTTGGAGGTAACTCTGGAGGAAGATCCAACAATCAACAAGCTGGAGGTTACGGAGGTGGCTACGGCGGTGGAAAAGAGTCGAATTCAGGTCGAGGGAATCGTTTCGGTCAGGGACGACAGAATCAGAATCATGAAGACGATTGGGGTAGAAGAGGTCGGCGTGACGGAGGAAGTGGGCGTGGGGGACGAGGAGGAGGTAGAAGTCAAAGGTCAGGTGGTCAAGGGAACTGGACAACAGCTAATACTGAAACAGCTGAAGATGAGGGAAATGAACTCCCATTTTCTTTTACGGGAAGAACAGGGAGACTCTAAATATCAAGGTATGTAGTCAGTCTGGCATCTTCTGTTTTCTTTTTACATGAGGGAGACACTGGCTCGCTAACCAGGATGTGTCAGTTTCTCTCCGGGGGGGGGGGGGGGAGGGGGTTGGATGGCCGAATGGTTAGCACGTGCGCTCTGTATCATACGGTCTGTCATTGAGTCAACTGGCGGGGTTTCGCTTCCCCTGATGTACGTGACAAGGAATAGGGTCGCCTGTCCAACCTCGTGGGTTTTCTCCGGGTCCTCTGGTTTCCTCCCACTGCTAAAGGCCCCTACGCAAATGCGAATTATTGAAATAAAATTGAATCATATGTTAGTCCCGAAATGACATAGTTTGTGTCGAGTGGACGTTAAACCCCATTTCTCTCTCTCTCTCACATTTTCTGGCGCAGTTTTCTCCTTGTCAGTGGGTTAAAACATTGTCTAGGTATTCAGTAGGGATACGTAAAAGAATCTTTGGAAGTTTGCTGTCCGGGCAACATTTCCCTCATAGCACACAGTGTGGCGTATGCCTATCTTCATTATCCCAGTCGATAAAGGACACTAGGATGTTAAACCCCATTTTATTTTCATATTTTTCGTAGGTTGTTTGAAATGATGACCTAAAGTAGCAGCATTCCCTATTCTTAAATCAAGCAATGCATACCTGATAAAATCTTTCTTTGTTATGCTGGAATGTTGGGCAATAAATAAAATGTTGTCCATTTTCTCATTAAAGTGCAGCACGATAGTCAGGAGCTTGAGTGAGTCGTCTTCATTAATCGAGGGGCTGGATGGCCGAATGGTTAGCACGCGCGCGTAGTATCATAAGGTCTGTCATTGAGTCAGCTGGCGTGGTTTTGATTCCCTGGTTGTACGTGACAAGGAGTAGGGTCGCCTGTCCAACCTAGTGGATATTTCTTCCCACTGCTAAAGACCCCTACGCGCAAGCGAATTATTGAAATAAAATTGAACCATGTTATTCCCAAAATGACCTAGTTTGTGTTGAGTGGAGGTTAAACCCCATTTCTCCATCTCACTCTCTCTGTATCTTTAAATTTTAATTAGTTTGAGTGAGTCATCTTGAGTAATCTGTGGACATGCTTGATCAACTTGACTCAAGATTCTTTCCTGATTCAGAGTTCATTTCCTTTATTTAAAATAGTTATATGCAGTGGTACAGCAACAGAGTCTTAATTATTCCGTTTGCACGTAAAACCATTTTTTTCGGGGTCCTGTTTCGTAAAATAACCTATCATGGTGCAGAACAGTAGGCCTTAGAATCACCATTTCATTTTGAAATGTAAAGAAATAATTTTGTCTCCAAAGTTAATTTTTTTATATTTTTATTTTTCAGGTGTTAGAGTATTAATCACCATTGTAAATAGACACATGACATTATATCATACCAAGTTTATTTTATAAATATCGTGAACTAACGATTGATTGGATATAGCCAGTGTGTTTCATAATCTGAACAGTTGGGGCAGAATCTGGTTGTGTAGTCATCACAGTTAATGATAAAAATAAAGAATGATTTCTGTATACAAGACGTGCGTTTCATAATCTGAACATTTAGGGCAGAGTCAAACAACTAACAAATTGCAAGGGCTAAGTGAAGGGGATGCAATGATGCCCTTTGCATCAGGGTTTTAAGTTTTTGCACCCCCTCTCAAATGGAAAAGTTAACGTGGCTTCAATGCAGTTTAAAATGCTACAGTCATAATCATATTGCTGAACCAGTTGTTGGAGAAGTCAGCTCCGTTAAATCAGTGAACACGAATGATAACAATTATGACTGATGTGTGTATGTATACGCGACGTTTTTTTGTTTTAATATTGTGTTTCAAAATCAGAACAGTTTGGACAGTGTCTTTATAACATCTTTCTTCAGTTGGTGGTGCAGTGGACACAGTTAATTCACAGAACATTGATGATAAACAACAAAAACTAGTCTCTGTATATTTCTATTAAAACAAAGAGTTATGACAGAGTCTAATAACATCTTTTTTTATTTGGTGGTGTAGTCAACACCGTTTAACGACTATTTCTATTCATAATAAAACGTGTAACAACATCTTTCTTTATTTGGTGGTGTAGTCGACGCCGTTTAACGACTATTTCTATTCATAATATAACACAACACTAGGTATATATCGATATATCTACTTCTGTATTATTTAACAACGTGTAACAACATCTTTCTTTATTTGGTGGTGTAGTCGACACCGTTTAACGACTATTTCTATTCATAATATAACACAACACTAGGTATATATCGATATATCTACTTCTGTATTATTTAATAATAACGTTTAACTTGAAAACGTGACCTGTATGTGTTACGAAACGTCGTTATTAAATAATATAGAAGTAGTTATATCCATATATACCTTGTGTTGTGTTTTGTTATGAATAGTTAAACCGTGCTACTAGATGTCATTTCAAGAATTGACTTAATTTCTGTAGATCATGTCATAGACTGAACCAGTTTGTTAATATATTATATTAAAAGACATAAAGGCCTTGCATTGTTGACCAACTGACTTACTACAGTTATGATTAACAGAGGACGAAGACACAAAGTCCTCTCACTGGTGATCAATTGTCTTACAACCGTTATGAAACCATGTAGACTTTAATCTGATCATTCTTAACTTTGAAAAAGGATTTAGAGCATTTAGATTTTTTTATTTGATATTTTTTTCATGTTAATTCTCTATAAATGTATGTTATAATACAAACAAGTAAAATAAATCATGATAAAATTAATATCAACAACTGGATTATTTACGCCATATAAAAAAACAATATTCTGATTCTTGGATGATCCCACGTCACTAGAAAATGGCAGCCGGACCCATTTTTATTTCCAAAAATAAAAACAATGACATTAATTACCAGGATTACGGGGAGTTGGAAATAAAATGGGGCTTAATGTCATTCTGATCTGCTCATAGTTTGAGAGACCAAGGTGGTGGCTAAGTGGGTGAAATGTTGCCTCGCTAGCCTAGAGGTCCTGTGTATACATTGGTGTGCATGTAAAAGATCCCTTGGCAGTTGGAATTCGATATAAGAGAAGGCCGTAGTGCCGCTGCCCAGGCAAAATTTCACTCCCTCATAGTACACTATATGGCGTAAGCTCCGTATAGGAGTAGGACGTTAAAACCCCATTTCATTTCATAGGTTCAGTTCTGGGGTTGACCGAGAAAAAGGGGTTCAAAGACAACTGAAGGCCAACAAACATTTTCCTTATTTAGCATGAAAAGTAGGACATTAGATGATCCAAACAAAACCTTGTTCTAACACCATGTTGACCTCCATGTTGGAGAATAGAAATGAGATAACCTTCAGTCATTACCAACAGAAAATAACAGATCACATTATATCCTAACCTCATTCTGAGAGAAAATCACACCCAGCCAACCCTTCACATTAATTTCGATATTTGAAAGTTAATTTTTTTCACTTTTAGAATTTTTTTTTTTTTATTGTAGTCTATATTTTGTTTGTTTATCAATCACTGTCCTCTTCATAAGCATCATCATCTTCTGAAGCTAAAAATATATAAAGAAATATATCAAATACCCTGAATGCAATAATTAAAGTCTCGATGCATCATTTTAAGCCATAGGCATTGTTAAAGATGAATTTCTAATATCGGTCAAAAGATAGGTTGCCAGGCAACAAAATATACGCCCACAGCAGCTAAATCATCCGAGCAGTCGACAAGGGTTGTCGCATATTTATTTTTTTGTAGGTAATTAGGGGCATTTAATAGACAATTTCATACAGATGACATAATTTTCGTCGTTTGAGGGTCCACAAGGTTCTAAAAACTAAAACAAGGGCCGTAACTCTGGAAGTAATCTACTGAAATTGTTGAAATTGAACAGGCTTTTTCGTTTTAATAATTCAAATAATGCATATAAATTTCATACGTTCACAAGGTTCAACAAAGTAAAACAAGGGCTGTAACTCTAGAAGTAATTAATGGAAATTGCTGATATTCAATAGGCTTCTTCATTTCACTAATTTAAATGATGCATATGAATTTCATACAGATTAGGTGATAACTTTTGTCGTTCAAGCATTCACAAGATTCAACAAAGTTAAACAAGGGCCATAACTCTAGATGTAATTAACGGAAATCTGCTGAAACTCAATAGGCTTGTTCGTTTTACTAATTCAAACGATAAATATAAATTTTATACAGATCGGATAATAACTTTAGTCGTTAGAGCATTCACAAGGTACAACAAAGTGAAACAAGGGCCATAACTCACAGCGTAATTAACGGAAATTGCTGAAATTCAATAGGCTTCTTCGTTTCACTAATTTAAATGATGCATATCAATTTCAAACAGATTGGATGATAACTGTTGTCATCAGAGCGTTCACAAGATTCAACAAAGTGAAACAAGGGCCATAACTCTAGATGTAATTAACGAAATTGCTTAAATTCAATAGGCTTCTTTGTTTTACTAATTTAAATGGTGCATATAAATTTCATACAGATCAGTTGATAACTTTTGTTGTTAGAGCGTTCACAAGGTGCAACAAAGTGAAACAAGGGCCATAACTCAAGAAGAAATTAACGGAAGTTATTGAAATTAAATAGGCTTCTTCATATCACTAATGCAAACAACATATATCAATTCAAAACAATCAGATGATAAATGTAGCCTGTAGAGTGTTCACAAGAAATTGTGGACGACGGACCGACAGACGGACGGACGGACAGGGGCGACAGGAATATATGACCACATTTCCATGTGGGTGTATAAAAATGGTTGGTTTTGAATTTGTTTTCTTAATTAAAATGTGAGAAATTTGATGGCTGGATGACCTTTAATTATCTCCCTTTAAGCAAGCTTCATTTACTTTGGGGGTACTCAATTGAACGTTCCCGGAATCGAATTCTCTCAATCCCAAAAATAGTGACAATCGAGTGAAAATGGGGTATTTCGGGCTACAATGCATGCATCGACTGGATAAGTAAATATCTCAACCAACCATGCAGCTGAAACATATTCGTTGTGTTTAAAATACGTCACAATTCTACTCATACCACCTCCGTAGTCGGGACTGACAGAACTGTAACAGAATTGAATTCTGTGTCACTCGATTGCAATTCTGTCAATTCTGGACGTTCTGGACTGTGAATCGAGCATCCACTCAATTTCGAAACGAAATCCATTCCAAGGCAATAATTTGGTTGGAACTCAACGCTACCCGGGTTCCCTTCAAGCAATAACTTGGTTGTAAAATTGAACGAAATCCACACCACAGCCCAACTGAAAGTTTCCTAGCAATAACTTGGTGGTACTTGATAGCACATCAGATGTTCCAGAAAAGTAATCAAATCATATCCTACCTTTCTTTGTTTTTTGTTTATTTTTCTTACTTTTGTTGTCACCATCAGCAGTATTATGTGATTTACCTTAAAACAAACAGTTTAAAAATCTTTCAAACTTTAAACATATGAGGTTCTACAATGGGTTGAAATGGGGGAGGGCGGTAAAATTTGTTCAGCAGACATTCAACTTTCTAAGTAGATTAGAAGAGTTCAGCCATTTAATGATTTAATTTAAAACTGGAGAAGGGAGGCTAAGTCTCGAATAATCAGCGCTGAGATTACGATAATAAACAATCAATGCATACATCTTGCCAAAATTGCCAACATTGATGACTTTGCTCAGAATAAGTAGTTTGAATAAAATGTTTAATATATTCATTTTGCATTATCTATTTTGAACTATTATAGCAAGAATGGCCAGGCCCCAAGTTTACAAAGCATTCTCAGACTTGAAATATCTTTGATCCAGAAACACAAAACTTGGCAAATAGTTTCGTATTGATATTTTTGGTACAATAAAACAGCAAAAGTTGTATAAAAAGCTATATTTTAGTTAAAGGAGCTAATCGCTAATACTTGGGACCTAGTAATTGACCCAAATGGGTGGCAACGCATATAATAATGTAATCTGATTGTATATAAACTGATTTACATTCAATTGTTTCCGTTTTGACTCTACTTTCAAATCAGTTCTGTCCAGTGAAATAAGGCATGTGTCTCAACCCTATAGCAATTTCTAGCGTCTGGTTATTCCAGTCTATTCAGCAGGCTCTCCAGTTGAATATGTATAGCCTCGTTCTTTCTGGTCACTTGTTGCAAATGACGCTAAAACGCACTATGGTACACGATTTGTGTACCAATGGTAAAATATTTATTTTGTCTTAAATATTGGATATCAGAAGCCTGCCTTTTCCTGGTAAGATCACAACATCAATGTTGATTTGAATTGACAAATAATTCGCATTTTCAACGTGTAAGACTTTGGATGATATTGAGTTAGAGACTTAGCTACTTTAAAATAAGGCAAATAATTTTAAGTTAATCCTTATAACTTAAGTCTTGAATGTCTTGTGAACTCCGGGCCAGTTCTTCATCTAAATCTTACATAATGCCCCTTAAGGCAGGACACTACCTAAGAATTTTACATTGATAACAGAAACTTGCCATTTAGTGTAATATTAGTATATGATGTCCCAAATCAGATTTGATAATTTGAGCGCAAAATGTTTATTTGTTGTCATGGAAATGGTGGCCATATTGGATTTTTTTATATATTCACGGTGGCTATGTTAGGAAATCAAAATCTTCAACAATTTTATTGAAACAAACTATTTGTGATTTGGAATAACATATATAGGCATTAAAGAGTGCAATAAGGCATAAATTTTACTATTTGAATGTTAATAAAGAACATTATGCATCCCACATAAAACAAGTGGGTGTGGCCGAACACACCACTAAAAGGATTTTGTACAATAAAATGTCCAAATGTATAACAAACACTTTGAAAATCACCTTATTGCACACAGTAGCTATAGCACTAATCGTATTCCAAAGATGAAACTATTATCTCTCATAGATTTTGAGAATTTGATTTTCTAAGACCTGATATGGGTGAAAAATTGAGTACGGAAAAAGCAAGTTAAAAGTTAAAGTTTGATTTACCTATATAAATGACTAAATATTTAACACTATATAGTATGAAGGCTGGACACGACTTGAAAAATCAACAAATTTTAACTATTTTGGGCAATTTTAGCTGATATCAAAATTTGACAGATCAATCTATACAGAGTGTTTTATAAGGTAGTGTCCTGCCTTAAATGGTTATACATGTATGTGGATTGCGAGGGGGAGAATTTTGCCAGGACACCAGCATTTCTGCCTATTCTTCTTCACATTCTAACTGCCGCAGTGTCAGAATTGTTCTATTACCTGTTTTCTTGGCGTAATAAATGTACACGATTCGTCCCTCTAATTTTTTAGTGTTGAATGATCTTGTGGCTTCTTTAGCATCCCTCTTAGATTTAAATGTTAAGTAAGCTCTCCTGAAAAAAAAATATTATAATTTCTAAATATACATGAAATGAAATGAAATGGGGTTTAACGTTCTACTGTTCTGCTCCGACTGCTAATGAAGACTGGGCTAATGAAGACGGGCATACGCCATACAGTGTGATGTGAGGAAAATTTTGCCCGGACTGCAAAGCTACGGCCTACTCTCATATTGAATTCTAACTTCCAAGGGATTTTTTATGTGCATGCCTATATGTACACAGGACCTCTTTTTTCGTCCCATCTGAACAACTAGACAAGCTGTCCTTCTCGGACCCTCTGCCAAATATACATAAAAAGTGAATAGATGAGAGAGGGCCATATATATATATATATATATATATAGAGACAGAGAGAGAGAGAGAGAGAGAGAGAGAGAGATGGAGCTTAACCACCACTCAATATAAAACTAGGCCATTTTAGGACTTCCATGCAATTTCAATAATTTGCTTGCACATGGAGATCATTAGCAGTGGGAGGGAACTGGAGAAAACCCATGAGGTTAGACAGGCAACCCATGCTACTCTTTGTCACTTACAAGCGTGGCATTGAAACCACGCCACTTGACTCAATGACTAATCTTATGATCTAAAGCGCACGCCTTTAAACATTCGGCAATGAGGTCATTTTGGGACTAACATATGTTATATGTCAATTTGTTAACCATGGAGGAAAACTGCAGGACTCTGAGAAAACCCACGAGGTCAGACAGGCGACCCAATTCCTTGTCTCGTACACGGTTCGTATTGAAACCATGCAACTTGACTCAATGACAGACCTTATGATGTAAAACTCACATGTTAAACCACCATCTCATTTCGCAATTTTATTATAATTATTCACTTGCACATATGCATCTTTATTGGTGGGAGGACCGGGAGCAAACCCACTAATTTACGATATCAAACCTTATGATCCAACGTGCACATGTTTAACCATTCGGCCACCTAACCGCCATAGTCTATAGTAACAGACCTTATGATCCACCATGCAACACGTTAAACCATTCGGCCATCTAACCGCCATAGTCTATAGTAACAGAGCATATGATCCACCACGCACACTATAAACCATTCGGCCACCTAACCACCGTAGTAACAGACCTTATGATATTAAACCATTCAGCCACCTAACTGCTGTGTGATTTATTTATAAAGTTACTCACCCTTTAGATTTGCCTGTTTCTGGATCTGTGATTAAACGGGATGAAAGACAATCAAATTTCTTGGTTAACAAATCATCTGTTAAATCATAGGATAGATTTCTTACTGTGATTGTTTTAGTTGGTTCATCTGATACAATATAACCATCTGAAGGTAGATATAAACAATATAATAATAATACAACCAAGTCTGATACAATATAAACTGAGAGAGAGAAATGGGGTATAACCAGGTCATTTTGGGACTAACATATGGTCCAATTATATTTCAATAATTTGTTTATGCGTAGGGGTCTTTAGCAGTGGGAGGAAACCGGAGGACCCGAAGATAATCCACAAGATTACTCATTGTCACGCACAAGCGGGGATTGAAACCACGGCAAACATGATCTATGTTTTCTATAATGTGTTATAAGAATTTTCTTTAATAGTCATTATTAAGACTTAATTTTAATTCCATTAAAATCCACTGTACTTTAAAAACATCACTTCAGCCAGGTTTTGTATTTAATGTTGTATAGCCATATATCAGTTCTAAGCATGCATTATGGTGGTCTGTATCCTACTAAGGATACATGATTTATCTCCCTTATATATGGCCTGTTGTAAGACTTGACAATTTGTATGATTAGGAGTGAGCTCCCCTGAAAGGAAGTGAATAAACATGTGGCCACAGATCACTAAATATTTGCCCATTGACTTTAATGTTAATTCTCGTCTCTTAGACCGGCTCTAACTTTTTCCCAAATTTTCGTTGGGTAGAACGCTTTCTACCACAGATGGAGCAACATGTGGCAACCTCTTGCCCAAAAGCACGTATGAGGTTCACCATGGAAAACCTGAGATACACAAGCTGGAAGTAGAGACAAAAAAACATGCAATTTTGGACCCTACATTTCAACCTATCCAACCTCTCAACTCTTGTATCCTTCCACCTCAAAATCATGAATATTCACCAAAACCTGGTAGAAAATGTATTTTCAAACCTTTTTCTTCGATTCTACACCAAAAAGTCAACAAAAATCGCCATGCAAAAAGGGAAAGGGAGAGAAAGACTAAAAATAACTTTCGCCCTACATTCGTGGGTGACGGCGTAGAAATATTTGGTGAGCTGTGTCCATGTGTCTATGATAAAGTCAGTCTTCTCCAATGAAAATATAATAATTAGAGTTGACTTAACAGCACACAACATTAATCAGGAACCTTAAGATATAACAAAAATACCTCTCTTGATATCACCATGGGCTCGGAAAGTTTGTGGATCTTTCTTCCTATTGCTGACAGAGTCCAAGAATAGCTTATCTCCCTTTAAAAACAGACCTTGTTTTTTAGAAACTGTTTTCTTTACCTCCTCTTCGGATTTTAACTGGATGAAAGCATACCTACAATGTTGAAGTTAATTAGTAATGGATTTTAACTGGATGAAAGCATACCTACAATGTTGAAGTGAATTAGTAATGGATTTTAACTGGATGAAAGCATAACTACAATGTTGAAGTTAATTAGTAATGGATTTTAACTGGATGAAAGCATAACTACAATGTTGAAGTTAATTAGTAATGGATTTTAACTGGATGAAAGCATAACTACAATGTTGAAGTGAATTAGTAATGGATTTTAACTGGATGAAAGCATAACTACAATGTTGAAGTTAATTAGTAATGGATTTTAACTGGATGAAAGCATAACTACAATGTTGAAGTGAATTAGTAATGGATTTTAACTGGATGAAAGCATAACTACAATGTTGAAGTTAATTAGTAATGGATTTTAACTGGATGAAAGCATACCTACAATGTTGAAGTGAATTAGTAATGGATTTTAACTGGATGAAAGCATAACTACAATGTTGAAGTTAATTAGTAATGGATTTTAACTGGATGAAAGCATAACTTCAATGTTGAAGTGAATTAGTAATGGATTTTAACTGGATGAAAGCATACCTACAATGTGGAAGTGAATTAGCAATGGTACTTTATGATAAAACCATATCAATTTTTGTGGGAAATCAATCATTGTGCTTGATAACGATGAGAGAATAGCCTACTTTTCGAATAATACTTTTTAGAATAAAACCAGTGATTGTTGCCCATAAAAATTTTGTTCTGTTTAATGCCACTTAAAGATCATATAAACTCTATCTGATGTTATATAATCTGATCATAATGTAAATTAAACATTACTTTCTTTTGTTCTCTTTATTCAAATATTGTTATGTCAAATGTAAATTCAAATATAAAAAGAGAGAGAGAGAGAGAAAGAGAGAGAGAGAGAGAGAGAGAGAGAGAGAGATGGGGTTTCAGTCCACTCAAAACAAACCAGGTCATTTCAGGAATAACACGGTTTAATTTTATTTCAATACAGTGCACGCTGTCACATCTGACATCGTACGGGATCGTTACAATATGTCGGATTACGCAGATTGTCGGAATACCCAGTTTTCTCAAAACTGGAAATATTGTAACTTCGGGTGAATTCGGGGGGAAAATTCGAGGATATTCTTGAGTATTTGTCACAACTGTCGTACAAGAGATTAAAATTATCAAAGTAATCAACAAAGACCCACGGTAGCGAGTTTTAATCTCACAGATAATTGATTAGTGATTGCTTGTTAATCTTTTGTGGCTTCACACCCATCCAGTTTTAATCGGTAAGTGTTTGCTTCACACCCACCGATTAAAGGCCGGATTATACAGTGTCGATTCAATGGAAATCGTCTGACGGGACGGCTGATTGATGTCGTAATCCAGAACGCACAGAGGTCAAATTACCCAGAGATTTTTGGGCTGAAATAATAAGGAAATAAATAGGGACATGAAAATGGTGTCGGATGTAACAGAGTGCCGGAGTGATCAGAGGTCGGATGTGACAGAGTGCACTGTAATTCACTCGTGTGTAGGGCTCTCTTTACCAGTTGGATAAAACCCACGAGGTTGGACAGGCGACCCTACAAGTCATCACGTACAAGCGGGGAATCGAAACTAACCCCCTTGACTTAATGACAGATCTTATGATTTCATGCGCATGTGTTAAACCACTAAACCACCCCCCTTCAAATATAAAACTTACCCCTTTGGTTTACCATTGGCTGTTAAAGGGTATCGGATACTACATGCTTCTGGAAATATTTTCTTCAACTCAACTTCTGTGACAGCTCGATTGATACCTTTAACATACATTGTTTTAGTATCCCCTGAAATTAGATAATCAACACACCATTATATTGGTACCGTATTAAATAAAGTGCAAGGCGGGAAAGTGCGCGCCCGGTGGGATGGTGGGGGTTTAACGTCCACTCGACACAAACTAGGTCATTTTGGGACTAACATATGGTTCAAGTTTGTTTCAATAATTCATTTGTGCACAGGGGTCTTTAGCAGTCGGATGACCAAGAGAAAACCCACAGAGTTAGACAGGCGACCCTACTCCTTGTGTCACGTACAAGCAGGGAATCAAAACCAAACTACTTGACTCAATGAAAGACCTTATGGTTTCAAGTGCATGCATTAAAGCACCAAACCATGCAGAGTTTACCCGGACAGTGGTGCTACTGTATTAATTGTCCGCCTAATGTACTCAAACACACGGTATGTAATTCCCTAAACAGTGTTTAACGTCCATTTAATACAAATTAGGTAATGTCTGGACTAACATATAATGATACAATATAATATTTCAAAAATTCACTTGTGTGGAAGGGTCTTTAGCAGTGGGAGGAAACCAGAGGACATGGAGAAAACTCACAAGGTAACCAACCATGCTCCTTGTCATGTACAACCACATGCATTAGATGCGAACACCCAAGTGACCCAACCCCCTTCTCTTATTTTGGCATTTTACCGATACTGAGTTTTGAGTTCAACTTTTTGAATTTGGGGTTGACTTTGTTTGGTATCAAGTTTCATAAAGATAATTTGAAAACAAAATAAGTAAGAGAATGATAGTAATACATTTATTTGTTTTTTTCAACTTTCAAGACAGCAGTGAAAAATCGTCACCCATTCAAGACAGCAGTGAAAAAATCGTCACCCATTTCAAGGCAAAAGTAAAAAATCGTCCCCCATTTCAAAGGAGCAATGAAAATTCGTCACCCATTCAAGGCAGCAATGAAAATTCGTCACCCATTCAAGGCAGCAGTAAAAAATTCAAGAATATAAAATGAATGAATTACCTGCGACTGATAACTGTAGTTTTTTACCATCTATTTCTAGTTCTTGTTTCTCTAACAAACATTTCTCCATAGTTTCTTCTTTCGCAAACACCACAAAAGCAAACCTGGGAAAAAGATTGAAAATGAGGACAAAGATACAAAAATCACTTTCATGAGAGTAAAACAAATAATTCAGCTGAATTCTACGGATAAAATAATCTGATGAGTCTGGATAATTCAACTTGACCTTTCTCCCTCTGTCTCTTTTCACCTTGACCCCATGAAAATGAATACATTGAACTCTACTATTACCATACATAACTTATCATATCTGAATAATAATAACAAGCAACAAGATGTGGAAGTCGACCATGCCTTTTGATGACTGATGAGTGATTATACTATCACCATGATTTTTATAATACCTTCTTAATCTTATAAAGAAAGAATATAAACATGTGTAGAGAGAGATAGAGAGAGAGAGAGAGTTAGTTTAACGACCTTGCATGCGTAGGGGTCTTTAGCAATGGGAGGAAACCGGAGGACCTGGAAAAAAACCCACCAGGTTGGACAGCTGACCCTACTCCTTGTCATGTACAAGTGGGGAATCGAAACCACACCAGTTGACTCAATGACAGATCTTATGATACAGTACACATGCGCTAACCATTCGGTCATCCAACCCCCATGTAGTCAAAGTGTTCTATCACAGGTGTATGGTTTTCAGTTTCTGTCATACAAACAAAGACAGGTAATAATTCAGACTAATTATCGATACGAACTCAAACTTGATACATGAATCGATCAGTTGTACCTATTCTTTGTTACTATCTGATCATCTTACCAGGCTAAAAACATTTGACTGACCATTTAAGTAAAGTGAGTTACTAACCCTTTGCATTCTCCATCATATTTTGTAGGGAATCGAATGTTGGAAGCTTCGGAGAAAATCTTTTTGAATTTTTTTAATGTTACTTGTGGTGAAATATTTGATACATAAAGAGTATTCTCATCACCTGAAATAAATACAAGTCAAATGAAATGGGGTTTAACGTCCTACTGTTCTGTTCCTATACTGGGCTAATGAAGAAGTACATACGCAATACAGTGTGCTATGAGGGAAATTTTGCCCGGGCAGCGGCACTATGGTCTACTCTTATATCAAATTCCAACTGCCAAGGGATCTTTTACGTGTACGCCAATGTATACACAGGACCTACTCTTATATCGAATTCCAACTGCCAAGGGATCTTTTATGTGTACGCCAATGTATACACAGGACCTCAACTTTTTCGTCTCATCTGAATGACTAGACAACTGTCCTTGCCAGGCCCTCTGTCTTGCACCACTGATATGGTGAAACCACGTCAGGAAATCCCGACGAACTTTCTCGGCCAATGCAGGAATCCAACACGCGACCTCCAGGCTATAGTGCCAGCGGCTTACCTACTTAGCCACCGTGGCTCCCTCCACTGCATTAATTTGGCAAAGATTTGACATAACTTACGTAATTCTTCATTATTGGAGATTTTCTGTTTTTTAGCTGGAGTTGGGGTTTTGGTCACAATTTCTTTCTTTCTCTTATTTGATTTGGCTGCTGGCTTTACCTCCTCCTCCTCCTCCTCCTCCTCCTCCTCCTCCTCATCATCATCATCATCATCATCATCATCATCATCATCATCATCATCATCATCACTGTCTTCATCCTGATCTACAGCAGATGGTAATCCTTTAACCTGTGGAGTTTCATCATCTTCATCTGAATCCATTTCACTGGATTCTTCCTCCAAAGATTCTTCTTCCTCTTCAGTGGCTACGTTTTGCGGATGTTTTTTCTTTGTTTGCGTCATTTTTAAAGTCCTGAAGAAAAACATAAAATGAATAAAATAAATAAATTGATTTTCATCCATTTTCATATAATAAATTGATCTTTCAATAAAAAATTGTATTGACGTTAAAGTGAGCCGCTCTGGCTCAGTGAATAAGGCCCTGGGAGGTCCGGGTTTCGATATTTTTTTATATCACCCAGGCTTATAAAGACTGACGTATGTCCTTTCTCTCAAGCCGATCTATTTATAGACGTGCGAGTTGCGTCGAGAATGGTGTGGGCTATACATGTGCTGCATGCTATATATACATATCCCAGCGGGCACACAACGTTGTGACAACATTGTTCAGGGGTTGTATCACAACGTCTGAAATAGGTCAGCTGTAGGTTGTTTTGCAACAAACTCTTACGTTGTGACAACGTTGTACGGACGTCAAAGCAACATTGTCACAACGTTGTGTGGTGGTTGACGAAAAGTTGTGACAACGTTGTACGGACGCCAAAGCAACATTGTCACAACGTTGTGTGGTGGTTGACGAAAAGTTGTGACAACGTTGTACGGACGTCAAAGCAACATTGTCACAACGTTGTGTGGTGGTTGACGAAAAGTTGTGACAACGCTGTACGGACGTTCAAGCAACATTGTCACAACGTTGTGTGGTGGTTGACGAAAAGTTGTCACGACGTCAGAATTTGTTGTTTTTCAACGTTGTGTGGTGGTTGGCGAAAAGTTGTCACGACGTCAGAATTTGTTGTTTTGAGGTTGTATAAAACCCAGTATAAGCCCCATCCGAACTCCCTACAGTTCTGCCCCCACTGGACTAACGAAGACGGGAATAGGCGGCCGGGCACGATGGAAGTTAAATTAGGTGTGTGTTCGGGGAAGGGGGGGGGTGCTTAAATGCCCGACAGATTTGGGCCACGGTTTTGACATAGTGAAACGATACGCGAAGTTTCAACACCCTCACTCAATTAGAATCAAAGTTATTGTGTCCCATCACAACCAATCTAATTGCTTCTTTCTGAATAAAATCAGTATCAATTAATAGGACAGTACGTAGTTTCAAAACATTCAATTCAAACGATTATATTACAGTCAATATTAATGCTAGAGTCATATAACTTTGCAGTAATGGGTAAAGGTAATAGAATCTGATCATTAAATTTTACGTAATGGTCATGTAATGAGTAATGGAAGATTTCAAAAGTAATGAGTAATGGAAATGTAATTAATTACATTCCGAAAATCATGTAATGGTCAATTACATTTCAATTACATTTAATGGCGCATTCTTTGAATGGCATTTAGTAATTAGAACATAATCAAATAACGCACTTTTATGAAATAACAATTACTATGGTTTATTTCACTGCAACGTTTCAACAAGATTTCACAAGTCGTTTTCAAGCATATATACACAAATAAATAAAATGAGAAAGATATGAATATATATATATAAACATCAGTGCGAACTATCCAATGGTATGCATGTCTTTAAATCTGATTGATTAAATGCTAAATTAGCACTAATCTTTAAATAGTAATAAAATGTAATTATTTACTTTCAATGTAATGGGTAATGAATGATATTGCTAAAAATGAGAAAGTAATTTCAATGCAATTGGTACTGTAATAATAATAATAATTTATTATTTATAATGCGCCTATTACCAATATAAAACACTCAATGCTCAATGGCGCAGTTAACATTTTGTGGACATCACACATAGAAAATAAAATAAAATTAAATGGATGATAAAAGAACTTAAAATGGCTTATAAAGATTATAATAAAATATGACATGTAATAAACAAATTTAAACTGTACATGTACTTAATTGGTCCCTCTTCTGTCCGGCTCATATTTTAGATGAGCCGAAACTGCTGTTATTATCTCGGCTTCATTGCAGCTCGGCTGACTGATCATTACACTATCTGAAGAATACAAAAAACTGTATATTTACTCTGTCAAATTTTGTAAATTATATAATTCAGTCCGATCAAAAAGGTGGTCCTAAAGCTGTAACAGATAATTCTGCATCCCATGAATTATGGACCAAAGGTGGCTTATTGGGTAAAACGCTGGCTCGCTTGTCTGGAGGTCGCATTTTCGATCCCTACATTTGCCGAGAAAGTTCAGTAGGCCTGACAAGGACAACTGTTAGTCGTTTGGATGGTATGAAAAACCAAGGCCTCGTGTACACATTGACGTGCAAGTAAAAGATCTCTTGGCAGTTTGAATTCGAGTAGGCCATAGTGCCGCTGCCCGGGCAAATTTTTCCTTCATTGCACGCGGTATAGCGCATGCCCATCTTCATTAGCCTAGTCTGAGCAGAACAGTAGGACGTTAAACCCCATATGAATTATATTATATATGACCCAATAACACATTCTATATGAGACATCGCTTGTGTTATTACTTTCATATTCTCCATAAATTTGTACGTGAAAGAAAGGCATGGGTGTTAAATTACAAAAAAGATAGGTTGCCAGGCAACGAAACATACGCCCACAGCAGCTAAATCGTCAGGGCAGTCAACAAGAGTTGTCGCATATTTTTACTTTTTTCGGTAATGAAACATTTATAATACACTAAAATCTGATTAAGAGCAACAACTCAGAAAACCATTAGAATTTGTTTGGTTTTTATAAAGTTCTGCCCCATGCTAACGTTTTGTATACAAAACTTTTAATACTGTATCATGGATTTAGCTGTCCAAGTCATAAAGATAGGTTGCCAGGCAACGAAACATACGCCCACAGTAGCTAAATCGTCCAGGCAGTCAACAACAGTTGTCACATATTTTTACTTTTTTCGGTAATGAAACATTTATAATACACTAAAATCTGATTAAGAGCAACAACTCAGAAAACCATTAGAATTTGTTAGGTTTTTATAAAGTTCTGCCCCATGCTAACGTTTTGTATACAAAACTTTTAATACTGTATCATGGATTTAGCTGTTTCAAGTCATAAAAATTCATTGAAAATCAATATACTTGTTTGCCTCAAGATCTTAAACTCTGTGTATCAATCTGAAGTCAATCGGATATTAACTTTGGCCTCTAGAGCGTCCCCAAGATTTTTCAAAGTGATCAAGGGCCATAACTTTGGCAGTAATTATCAGAAATCTTTGAAAATCAATAGGATTCTTCGCCTCGTGACCTCAAACACTGTGTATAAATTTAAAGTCAATGAGATTAACTTTAGCCTTTAGAGCATCCACAAGGTTTTTTGAAGTGATCAAGGGCCATAACTCTGGAAGTAATTATCGAAAATCACTGAAAATGAATAGACTTCTTCGTCTCATGACCGTAAACACTGTGTATGAATTTAAAGTCAATCGGATATTAACTGAGCGTCCACAAGATTTTTCGAAGTGATCAAGGGCCATAACTCTGGCAGTAATTATCGTAAATTGCTGAAAATCAATAGGCTTCTTCGTCTCATGACCTTAAACATTGTGTATAAATTTAAAGTCAATCGGATATTAACTTTGGTCTCTAGAGCGTCCACAAGATTTTTTGAAGTGATCAAGAGCCATAACTCTGGCAGTTATTATCGGAAATCACTGAAAATCAATAGGCTTCTTCGTCTCATGACCTTAAACACTGTGTATAAATTTAAAATCGATCGGATATTAACTTTGGCCTCTAGAGCGTCCACAAGATTTTTTGAAGTGATCAAGGGCCATAACTCTGGCAGTAATTATCGGAAATCGCTGAAAATCAATAGGATTCTTCGTCTCATGACCTTAAACCCTGTGTATAAATTTTAAGTCAATCGGATATTAACTTTGGCCTCTAGAGCGTCCACAAGATATTTTGAAGTGACCAAGGGCCATAACACTGGCAGTAATTATCGGAAATCGCCGAAAATCAATAGGCTTCTTCGTCTCATGACCTTAAACACTGTGTATAAATTTAAAGTCAATCGGATATTAAGTTTGGCCTCTAGAGCGTCCACAAGATTTTTTGAAGTGATCAAGCAATTGTGGACGCCGGACCGACGGACGAACGGACGGGGGCGAGGACAACATACGACCACATTTCAATGTCGGCGTATAAAAAGATCAACACTCATCGATGAAGTAATAAAAACTCGTGTATGCCCATACCATGTTTGATTATCCGATATTTAAGGATATGTTCGTAAATTGAGTATGATAAAAACAAACCTCTGACAACTTTGTAAATTTCTAAGTCCATTATGGACCGCCTCCCTTTATTTCCCTTTAAATTAAATTGGGCCATTAGGGAATTAGACATCAACCTGTTAAAATAAAAAGACATACTGTTTATGCGTTTGACAATACCACGAATTTTGACTTTCCATTCCTTGACACCTAGAAATGGACATAAATGGGTTGCAACGCATATAATAATGTAATATGTTTGTATATTAACTGATTTACATTCAATCGTTTCTGTTTTTACTGTAATGTCTAATCAGTTATGTTCGGCGAAATACGCGAAGAGAGAGAGAGAAATGGGGTTTAACGTCCACTTGACACAAACTTGGTCATTTCGGGACTAACACATGGTTCAATTTTATTTCAATAATTCGCTAGCGCGTAGGGGTCTTTTTAGCAGTGGGAGGAAAACGGAGGACCCGGAGAAAACCCACCAGGTTAGACAGGCGACCAAACTCCTTGTCACGTACAACCGGGGAATCGAAACCCCGCCAGTTGACTCAATAACAGACCGTATGATACAGCGTGCGCGTGCTAACCATTCGGCCATCCAATCCCCCATACGCGAAGAGTCCAAATTGAATGCCAGTCTTTGGCGTCTGGTTATTCAAGTTTACACCCGCATATAGTATTCTCTTGGGTATATTTAACTTCATTCTTCGAGTCTCTCTATTACAAATGAAATTTGAAAGCATTCTTGCACGCGATTCGTGTGGCAATTTCAAAACTTTAACTTTGTGTTAAATATTGGACATTAGAAGCCCATCTTTTTACGGTTACAACATTGATGTTGGGTTTAATTAAACAATGAGTCCCATGGTTGCAATGTCGAAGACTGTG